AGTGCAGGCTAGGAGCGGACCTGTGCACCTTTAATCCCAGCTCTCAGGAAGCAGAGGTAGGCAGATCTCTGTGAGTTCAAGGCCTCTGTGAGTTCAAGGTCTACATAGTGAAAGACAGGCTGGTCCCTTGGGCTCTCAGCTGCTGAGCAGAGGCAGGCAGAACTTTGTGAGTTTGAGGCCAGCCTGGTACATAGCAAGTTCCAGGCCAGCTGGGAACTACAGGGAGATCCTGTCTCAATAAATAAATAATAAATAAATAAATAGATAAATAAATAAATAAAATAATAATAATTGAGATTGTGTCCATGAAAGGTTGAAGGGTTCAGTATTGGCCCTTGGTGATTTGTATGCCTTAGAAGTCATATTTGTGAATAAGGTTTATGAGAGAACAAATCAAAGTGTACCTGTAATCACCTACCTTTAATCATGTACCTGTAATCACCGTACTTGAGAGGTTAAGGCAGGAGGATGTTAAGTTCAAGGCCAGCCTACGCTACATGGCAAGTTCTAGGCTAGCCTTGGCTACACAGTGAGCCCTGTCTCAGAAAGAAAAGAAGGGAAGGAAGGACAGAAGACGAATGAAAATAATTTTCAATCCTATTAGCCACAAGACAAATATGGTTTAAGCATTTAGAACCTAAAATATATATTGTGAAATGTTTTTATATATACCTGGTGTTGAAAAAAAAAGGTAGTTTTTCTTTGTTATATGTGTTTGTGTGTAAGGTGTATATGCACGTGTGTGCACGCAGTTCACGTGCAGAGAGAGGCCAGAGGCAGATGTTGGGTGTCCTGCTCTACCACTCTGTACCATATTCTTTGAGACAGGGTACTTTACTAAACCTGGAATTAGACTGGTAGCCAGCAAACCTCAGCAATCTTCCTCTTTCTGTCCCCACCACCCCCATGACCACCAGCACTAGTGTTACAGGCACATGCCTGCTTTTTACATAGGTGCTAGCATCTGAACTCAGATCCTCATACTTGTGTACCAAGAACTGAACTATCGAGCCATCTCTCTAGCCCCTAGTTGCTTTCTTTCTTTTAAATTTAGATTTAAAACAAATTATTAAAATTATTAAGGTTTTCACTAAAAATTTCTTCTCTTTTCTAGTTGTTTCCAGATAAAGTTGTAGAGAAAACAGACAAGGTATTTTTTTATTGTTGAAATTTCAGCTTTCTGAATTATTTCTTGCTTATGTGCAAACTAATTGGAGAATATACTTATTTTCAGATTGATTTGGATTCAGCAGAAGATACCAAATTGATAGAACTAGATGATTCACAGAAAAGTGAGCATACTGTATTTGTAATGCCACCCGAGCCCACTCCTGATGATGGGAAGGATCTGTCCCCACAGTACAGGTAGAGGGTTTTTAAAGAGCTACTTGGACATAACTTCGATAGTATATTTGAGACTTTATGCAATTATCAATAGATAGATATCTTTGTAATTTGTAAAGGTGATTTTCAGTATTAAGTTAGTGAACTAAGAGGTAACTATTCTGTGGAGTTCTTACCAGGTATAATTTAAGGCTAGGTGGTCTTATTAAGGGAAGTCAGATGTCGATTGGTTCTGAAGAAGAAAAGTTTAATTTTTGTGAGGTTCCCTACTTCCTTCAGTAGTTTTTGGGTTTTTTTTTTTTTTTTTTTTGGTCTTTTTGAGACAGGGTCACCCTGTAGCCCCAGCTGGCCTGGATTCACTATGGAGACCAGGCTGGCCTCAAACTCACCAGTGCTGCCTCCCCAGTGCTGGGATTAAAGGCGTGCGCCACCACGCCCGGCTCAATTACTAATTTTTTTGACTGTAAGTTTCCTGTGGGTTGGTTCATTATTCTTTGTTATTTGTATCTTTGTGGATACATATGCTTTTTTTATTGGCTATTTTTCTAATAGAATTCCTTTAAGAGAAAGTCAAAATAAGTACCTTTCTAAAGAGAGAGACTAATGTATAATCTCACCAGGCCTACTGATGATTATATATCTGGAATTGAGAGTGTCTTAATTAAATAATATTTGATTTCATGCTATAGAATTAATTTTTTACTTTGGCTTAACTTTTGTGATTTAGAATTCTGGTACTGACACACAAGATAAAATCAAATAGGGAAAGGCAGTATCTTCAAGAAGAAAATTTGCCAAAAAAAAAAAAAATAGACAAGTGTTAAGAAGAGTCAATAATGGAAAAATAATACTCAGCTTTTCCAGCATTGAAAGAAATGCAAGCCACACTGGTGAACGGAATCATTTTTAACGTGGCTGATGAGGCTGGGGTGCGACACTGGGGTACATGTTGAGTATGACCTTTTTTGAAACCTAAAAACTTTAGATTTACATTAAATTTTATTCTCTTGAGAAACATCGACTTAGAAAACGCTATTATTGAGAATTTATCCTAAGAAAATTAAGTGAAAAAGTTCACAAGGATACATATACAAAGACATTTAGGATATTCACAAGTAGTCTAATAATAACAGTAGTGTGAAGAGTTGGTTAAATTATAGCACATATCTAAAATAAAAATCTTATGCTGTTAACTATTGATATAGGCTAATTTCTTGAAGTAAAACGTGGTTACAGAGTATGCCAAATGTTATTTTTTAATCAATTATTGAACACGGCTTTTATTGAGTTATTATTACTCTTTTAAGTTAAGGTGTCAGAGATTTCTCAAGACTTGGTTGAAAATGACAGACAGGGTGGGGAGGAGCTTGAGTTTCCACTATCTGGATCTTACACCTATATTTTCTCATACTTTGAAAAAAATCTATAAGGATTTTAAAGAATATTAGTGGATACTTTTGAGGTTTAGAGATACCCACCGAAGTAGCTGAGTATTATGAATAATTGAATGTATTTTTAAGTCAGCAGTTCTATTTTTGCTTTTTATTTTAGTTACCAATACTTTCCAGGATTGGACCTGAAGCTTTTCGACAGACCACAGGAGTTGAAACCTCGTTTTAATAAGCACCCTTCTGGGAGCAGCAGTACAAACAGTCCAGCTCTCATGGCCAAAAGAACTAAACAGGTCAGGTATTCTCCATCTAATCCACGTTAATTAAAAACGTAAGATATGTATATGTGATATGCAGTTTATAATATAGAACCCTAGCAAGCTGTTTGAAGACTTGTTCTGGTTGTTACTGAATCTAACTAGATTTCTTGCAACTTTACTTAATATTAAGGCTGAAGGTTTTTTTAATACTTATATTTATACTTTCATGAGAAGCCTTGGGAACCAAACATACTTTAAAAAATATAGACTTTGCTATGTGTGATGCCACACACCTTTAATCCCAGTAGTTGAGAATAGGCGAATTTCTATGTGTTTGAGGTTAGCTTGGTCTACATAGGGAATTCCAGGCCAGCCAGGGCTACATAGTGAGACCCTGTATCAAAAATGATACACACATATTACTCTATTCATATAATTCACATACCATACCATTTATATACATTTATATAGTTAAAGTGAATTATAATTCAGTAAATTCAGTAGTTCACTCTTCCTAGGGGGGTGGTTAATGTGTTCATTGGGTTGTTTCACCTCAGTTAATTTTAGAAACCTGAATCACCCCAGAAAGAAAGCCCACATTCTTTAGCCATTCCCCAATAGCATCCATCCCCAACAGCCCTCTACAGCCACCAGTCTATTTTCTCTCTACAGATGAAATCTATGTATTCTAGGCATTCCTATAAATAAGATAATATATACCGTTTTGTGATTGTGTTTCATTTGTTATCCTTTCAAGGTGTGTCCATCTTGTAGCATGCATTAGTACTTTATTTTGACTGCTTAATACTCCATTGTGTGGACCTACCACAGTTTATTCACAGGGATTGTAGAGGTTCTTTTTGGCTATTAAGAATATTGTTGCTGGGGCTGGAGAGATAGCGCAGTGGTTAAGAACACTGGCTGTTCTTGCAGAAGACAAGGTTTGAATCCCAGCACTCACATGGCAGCTAACAACTGTCTGTAACTCCAGTTCCAGGGGATCCAACAGCCTCTTCTGTCCTCCTCAGGCATTGCACAACACGGGTGCACTTACCTACATGCAGGCAATACATGCATGCACATAAAATAAAAATAATAAAATATTTAAAAATAAAAAAGGATGTTGCTAACACACGTTTCCATACCCACACTGCTGCCCTCTGCTTCTGTAGCTACGGAGTATCTCCAACTGGATTTCAAGCAAGCTGTGGACTGCTGCTGCTTTTTTTCTGTTGCCAAACCCACTGAACACAGAGCCATAAATTCTTTCATACATTGGCTTGTAAGCCACACTGTATATTTTTTGTTTGCCAACCCTCACTAATGAAGATTTAGTTTTTGATACCCACCTCTAGCCTGTCCTATATTGATGAACTTCGCTCTTTGTTCTTCATAAGATAGCCTAACTGAACATCTACTACTCTGGGAAAGGAGCTTTTGAAGCTGCAGCTACCTGGAGATTGGAAGAATGATGATGTTGTCCTTCATGCACTGAGTTTAGAGCAGAGAGAACACAGGCAGAGGAGCCGCAGAACAGAGTGTGGCTGTATGTGATCTCTCCCACCCTTAGGGAACAAGCAGTTCTGCAGTGACAGGAGGAGCAGGGGACTGAATAGCCACCCGCACACAAGTTTCCACTACTAAAGGTGACTGAGCAAGTGCTTAGAGAGGATGTTGCAAAATAAAGAATTGGTGCATGTTCTTCTGAAGCTCCCATTTAAAGAAAGAATGTTCCAGTAAGCATTTGTGTACAAGCATTTTGAGATTATATGTTTTCATTTCTTTTGGGTATATCTAGGAGTAGATTTACTATATTATATGGTAATTCTCTGTAAAATCTGTTGAGGAAATGCCAAGCTGATTTCCAAAATGGCTACACTGTTTTGCATTCCCACTAACATTGTTCAAGTGTTCTGATTTTTCAGTATTCTTTCCAGTTCTTACTATCTGCCTTTTTTTTTTAACTACCGTCTTGTGAATATGAAGTGATATCTCATTGTAGCTTTGATTTACTTCTTCCATGTAGCTTATGTATAATATTCCTTATAGCAAATATTACATTCTAAAGAGCATTAACACAGGATGACCTAGACATCTTGCTTTACTACAGTGTCTGATTTAGAAATAAAGGATTAAGCTGTGGTTAGATATGCATTAAAATAAATTCTCTTTACACTGACATTTTGGAGGTCTTCAAAACATGGAAATTTTCAGAATAAACTGGAGCTTGTGACAGTCAGACATGAGCCAGCACGTCTAGCTTTGGATCAATTTTTAAATTATTTTAAAAATCAATTTTTAAATTATTTTTATTTTATGTGTATGAGTGTATTGCCTCCATGCATGTAAGTGTACCAGTATTGTGCAGTACCCATGCCCATGGAGGTCAAAAGAGAATGCTAGATTCCCCTGGAACTGGGTTATAGATGGTTGTCAGCCCCCATGTGGATGCTGGGAATCAAACCCAGGTCCTCTGCAAGAGCAGCCAGTGCTCTTAATTGCTGAGCCATCGTTCCAACCCCTAAATTGATTATTTTTAAAGAACAGCTCAATGAGAGAATTAATGTAGTCTGTAAACTCAGAAGGGAGAGTGAAGTGGAAATTGTGGCAGGAAATAACCTAGGGCATCTTAACTACTAGGAAAGAATGGAGCAGATATTACTTAAGACTGGAGTAGAAAGGCAGGTATGGTGGCGCACGCCTTAAATCCTAGCATGCAGAGGCAGAGGCAGGTGGATCTCTGTGAGATCAAGGCCAGTCTGGTCTATATAGTGAATTCCAGACCAGCTGGGGGCTACAGAAAGATGCATCTCAAACACATGCACGCACGCGCATGCACACACACACACACACACACACACACACACTACTAGAGTAGGCCTGGTAATCTGAGCTTAAATCATGTCCTCTGACCTCTGCGTGTATGTTGTGGCCCACATATCCACATGCAAACAGCTCATGTGTGCACTCACAGTTTTAAAAAAAAAGAGACTGGGGGACTGTACAGATGACTCAGCAGTTAAGAGCACTGACTGTTCTCGAAGAAGACCTGGGTTTGAATCCTAGCACCCACATGGCAGCTAACAACCATCTGTGACTCCATTTCCAGGGGTCCAACCCCCCTCTTCTGGCCTCCAAGGTCACTACATGATGCTGGTGCATTTACATACATGTATGCATAATACTCACACACATAAAATAAATACATAAAATTTAAAAATAAAAGACTGGAGTAGAGAGCCTATAATCAGAGCATTTAGAAGGTGGAGGAAGGAGGATCAGGAGTGCAACTTTAGGCCAGACTAGGCTACATAATGAGACTCTATTTCAAAAAAAAAAAATTGAAAATCATAAATGTGTAAGTCAAGGATATATAGTTTTAGCTGCCTTTTTACCCATTAATGGCATTGTTTCCTACTATATCAAGAACACTTGTTTAACTATTATAAAATGGGACTGGAGGGGCTGGAGAGATGGCTCAGTGGCTAAGAGCACTGACTGCTCTTGTAGAAGACCCGGGTTCAAATCCCAGTACCCACATGGCACCTAACAACTGTCTATAACTCCAGTTCCAGGAGATCCGATGCCCTCTTCTGACCTCCACGGACACTGCACAACATGGGTGTACCTACCTACAGTTGGCAATACATACACATAAAATAAAAATAATAAATAAAATATTTTTAAAAAATAAAAATGAAATGGGATTGGAGCAAAGGCTCAGTGGTTAAGAGCACTGAGTACTCTTGTAGAGAACCTTGATTCGGTTCCCAGCACCCACATGGCAGCTAACAACCATCTGTAACTCCAATTCTCCCTCCCTTCCTCCCTCCCTCTTCTCCCTCTCCTTCCCTCCCTCCCTCCCTCCCTTCCTTCCTTCTCTACAGGGTCTCTCTGTAGCCCCAGCTGGCCTGGAACTCAGTATGTAGACCAGGCTGTCCTCAATCTCACAGAGATCCTTCTGCCTCTGTCTCCTGAGTGCTGGGATTAAAGGCTTGTACCACCACATCTGGCTAAAATACTTTGTTTTTAAGGCCTAATTTTACATGAAGAATTTTCCTTTTCTTTCTTCTTCCCTCTAATGGATTTTAGTAAATATGGTAATATTTTATTTTTCTTTCTAGGAGATAAAAACAGCCCATAAGTTGGCGAAGAGATGTTATACAAATCCACCGCAGTGGGCCAAGTGTCTGTTCAGTCATTGTTACAGTTTATGGTTTATCTGTCTTCCTGCCTATGTTAGAGTTTCTCACCCTAAGGTCAAAGCACTCCAACAGGCATACGATGTACTTATTAAGATGAGGAAGACAGATGTGGATCCACTAGATGAGGCAAGTATAAGATACTCAGCTACTGTTAAAAATATATATATATATTTTTTTGCAGTGTAGTGGATACAATCCTTACTTATGCTGGGCAACTGAGGTATATCCCTAGCCCATGAAGATAAATTTTATTTTGTATTTTAAGAGTTTAGGACTGGGGGCTGGAAAGATAACCCAGCAGTTAAGAGCATTTTCTGCTCTTGCAGAAGATCTAGGTTCACTTCTCAGCTCACAGCTTTTCATAACTACAGTTCCAAGAGATCTGATGCCCTCTTCAGGCTTCTGGGGGTACCAGGCACACAGGGCACAAGCATACATGCAGGAAAAGCACTCCTACACATAAAAATTTTTTTAAAAGTTTAGGTCTGGTCAGGCCTGGTGGCTCATGCTTGTGTTGGTAAGCATTTCCCGAGGTAGGAAGATTGCCCCAGGGTCCAGGTTAACCCACCCTGGGCTACCAAGTGAAACCCTATCTCAAAAACACAAAAAGAAGTTGGGTGTGGTGGTATATGCCTTAATCACAGAACTCAAGAGGCTGAGGCAGGGAGATCTCTGAGTTCAAGGCCTACCTGGTCTACACAGGGAGTTCCAGGCCAGCCAGGGCTGCATAGTGACACCCTGTCTTTAAAAAACAAAACAAAAACAGAAAAAAGCAGGAAGGCTAGGTTAGGTGTTAGGTTGTTTTAAAGCATGTCAAATCCTCTTAATACTCTGTTTCATAGAGCTAGTGTGTACATGGTTTGCTTTACTTTAAGGTTTATTAAAGTTCATGCTTTGCCTGGGTGTGGTGGTACATGTATCCCAGCGCTTGGGAAGCCAAGGCAGGACGATTGCAACCTGGACTACTTTGTGAAACCAGATCAGGTTGTTTGCCCTTGATGCACAGACTGGAATACTGATTTCATTTTGTTCTTATTTAACTTTGTTAGAGAACTGACAGGCAGAAGACTTTTTGCAGGTGGTTCTTGGTACTATTGTCCTAGGTATAGTGAGTTATAAATTTGTTTGCTATTCATATGAAAATGTAGTCCCTCTTTTTCAGCTTTGCTGCATTTGACACACATTTATTTGGGGTGCCTGGCCTGTACATAGTAGAATGCTTAGCAGCATCAACGGCTCCTGCCCATTAGACACTAGAGGCCAGTAATATCCTTTTCCCCCCTTCACAGGTTATGACGGTCAACAATGTCTTATTGCCCCATGTACCCTGGAGAACAAGATGGCTTTGGAAACCTGCTATAGATAGCAATAGAACTCCCTCAAAGTTGATTTCAGGGTTAGATCAGTTGATATACAGATAATGCCTGGCTAACAATCAGCATTCAGTAAATGGTGTACTGGGTGTCTTTATATATTATCGCTCTTAAGCCTCAGAGCCACCCAAGTGGTCATCCAGTTGACAGCTTAGGAAAATGAAATGTTTATGTAGCTTTTCTCTTGGCTCCCTTTGCCATTGGAAGTGTTAGTTTTGTTGTGTTTGAGACAGGGTCCCTCTATAGCCCTGGCTGGCCTCAAACTCATTGAAATCTGTCTGCCTCTGCCTCTCAAGTGCTGGAATTAAGAAGTGTGCCACTCACTATACCCGGCTTAGAAGTTATTTCTGGTGTTATAATAACTATACTTGAACCAGATTAGAAATTAAAAAGTCTTTGCTAATAATATTACCTTGTACCCCTCCCCCCATCCCTCCCTTCCTTTTGTGGTACCCCTGGGGACTGAACCTATGGTCTTGTGCATGCTGAATGTAAAGCATACTGATGGGGAAGAAAGGTATTTTAACCAACTTGATTCTAGAAATGAATTCTTTCTCACATTTATGGAGAACGGTAGTCATTCTTGTATAGATTTATTTTTTCACACAAATGAGAGGTGCATGAAATAATCAGGTTGATTATTAGGTTGAATAGAGTTTGTTGTTGTTACTGTTCTATTTTATTTTATTTTTTCTCAGAGTATTTCATAACCCAGACTAGCCTGGAAGTCATTATGTATTGGAGAATGGCTTTAAACTCTGATCCTTCTGCCTCTGCCTTCTCAGTGCTGGGATTATAGACCAGTGCCACCACTTGGTTGAATAGGGTTTTTTTGTTTGTTTTTATTTTAATGTTTATTTTGACACAGGGTCTCATTATGTAGACCAGGCTGGTCTCAAACTATAGAGATCTGCCTGCTTCTACCTCCAGAATGCTGGGATTAAATGCTTATACCACCACCCCCAGCTTCTTAGATAGGTTTTAAAAATAATTTAAGTAGGTGCTCATACTGGAACAAAAGATTCAGTCATGCTTCATAAGTTTATGAAAAGAATTAAGGGCTGGAGAGATGGCTTATTGTTTAAGAGCACTGACTGCTCTTTCAGGAGACCCGGGTTTGATTTCCAGCACCCATATGGTGGCTAACAACCATCCATAACTCCAGTTCCAGGGGAACTGATGTCCTCTTCTGGCCTTCACAGGCATTGCACCATGTGGGTGTACTTACGTACACACAAGCAAAATAGTCATACACACTAAATAAAAATTAAATTTTAAAAAAGAATTGAGTAGTCATTTTATTTGTTTTATTATTTTGCTTGTTTTTGAGACATAGTCTCATGTGGTCCAGGCTGGCTTTGAACTCACTCTGTAGCCTTGTAGGTTTGTTTTAAACTCCTCTTCCTCCTGCGTCCACCTCCCAAGTGCCAGGATTACAGGTACACACCACCCACATCTGGCTGATAGTCTTTATAATTTCTGTACATCTCAGATAAACTGTTATGCTGGCTACTGATGCCCCAGTGTTGTTCTTGTCAGGTGTGCTATCGTGTGGTAATGCAGCTTTGTGGACTTTGGAGTCATCCTGTTTTAGCAGTGAGAGTCCTATTTGAAATGAAAACTGCTAAAATAAAGCCAAATGCTATTACATATGGCTATTATAATAAGGTAAGTAGGATTAATATTAGGCAGTATATTGCTAATGAAGAATGATGATTTTTAAAAATCTTTTATTTGTTAAACTTCTGTTGATAGGAGGTTTGGGGAGCATAATTCTCTCTCTCTCGGTCTTTTTGGTCTTTTTGAGACAGGGTCTCTGTTTTGAAATATGTGTATATTATGAAATGGCTCAGTCAAGCTAAGTAACATATGTATTATCTCGTTTACTAATTTTTGTGGTGAAGACACTTAAAAATCTCTTACCAATTTCTAAAATGTAATGCATTGCAGTAAGTCTCGTCACCGTGTTGAATTATAAATCTTTTAAATTTATTCTTCCTATCTAACTGAAATTTTGGGTTCTTAGATCCACATCTCCTTCACTGTCCCACAGCCCTGCCCTTAGCAGTATTGCTCTTGAGCTCAACTTTTCAGATTTTACATTTAAGTGAGATCATGTGGATCTTTCTTGTTTCACCTAACATAATGTCCTGAAGGTTCCTCAGATTGTTTACAAGTGACAAGGATTTTTTTTTTTTTAAGCTTAATAATGAGGGCTGGACAGATGCTCAGCAGTTAAGAGTTCTAGCTGCTCTTGTAGAGGACCTGGTTTGGTTCCCAGCACCTACATGGCAGCTAATAACTATCTATAACTCTAATTCCAGGGGCTCCAACACCTTCTTCTGGTATACTTACATATATGCAGGCAAAATACTCATATACATAAAATTAAAATAAAAGTAAAAATTTTAAAAAGCTTAAAAAAGCTTCCATGTGAATATTTTCTTTATTCTTGTATAGATGGGCATTTAGGTTGATTCCATATCTTGGTTATGAATAATGCTACAGTGAATTGGGAATGCAGATCCTTGTTTGTTTGGTTGTTGTTTGAGACAGGGTCTCATTATGTAGCTCCAGCTAGCCTGAGTCAGAGGCCTTTGTCTCCTATGCTGGGATTAAAGGCATGCATCACTATTCCCAGCTAGATCTCTTTGAAATAATGATTTCATTTCCTATGGAAATACGTTCAGTTGTGGGATTGCTGGGTTACATGGTAGTAGTTTAGGAACTTCCATAACTTCTGTATTAGTTACTTTTTTTTCTGTTGCTGTGATGAAATACTGTAACAAAGGACATTTATAGAAGGAAGAATTTATTTTTCCAGTTCCAGAGGGATGAGTTCAGCGTTGTTGGGAGGCATAGTAATAGGTAGCTGGAGCGGAAAGCTGAGCACTTACATCTTCAAGCCCCCCCCCCCCCCCCCCCCCCCGCCCTGTGAAGTGCTTCCTCCAAAGCAGTGCCACCAACTGGTCACAAAGTGTTCAGATACTTGAACCCTATAGGGGACATTCTTGTTCAAAGCACCATACATACCATTTTCCATTATGGCTTCACAAATTTGTATTCTCACTAACATTGTAAAAGGGTTCCCTTTCCGGGTTCCCTTTTTTCTGTATGTTTGCTAGCATCATCTTTTCCCTTTTTAAAACTTAAAAAAAAAAAAATGAAATGTATTGTTTTTGTGTCTGTGTGCACATATGACGGGGGAGCACACCTTGCTGTGGCCTGCATATGGAAGTCAGAAGACAACTTTTGGGGGTCGGTTCTCTCCTCCCACTGTGGGTTCTGGGGCATTGAACTCAGGTCATCAGGCATGTGTAGCAAGTGCTTTTACCCACTGAGCCATCTTGCTGGCCCTAATGAACTTTTTTTTTGCGACTTTTATTTTACCTTTAGGTAGTTTTGGAGAGCCCATGGCCCAGCAGTACCCGTAGTGGTATCTTCTTATGGACAAAAGTGCGGAATGTGGTACATGGTTTGGCACAGTTTAGGCAGCCACTCAAAAAGTCGGGGCAAATATCACAGGTCTTTTCAATATCAGGTAATTCATGTGTTTGGAAAGATTTTTTAAACTATAATTTTATAGACATATGGACTTGTAATTAAATGAAGTAAAGAACTTGAAATTCTGTTATTTTCATATACAACTGAAGCTAGATAACCTCACTACAAATTTCCACCCAGAAATCTACAAACTGTTGTGTAATTGTAAATTACACGTTTAGTTCCAGAAATATTGGTGCCCAGATTCCTGAACTACATTGTCCTTATCTTTAGCTCCTCAGAATACCACAGGTGGAAGTGATGGGGACACAGTGAGCCACGGTAGTGTGGATAGTTCTAACGATGCTAACAATGGGGAGCACACAGTCTTCGTCAGAGACTTAATCAGCCTTGATTCCATTGATAATCACTCTAGTACAGGTACTAAAAATGTGTATTTTACTAACCTTTCATTTACTACCATGTTAAGTGTTTCTTTTTCAAAAAATTTTACATTCATTGAATTTTTGTAGTGGGAGTACTTTTAAAGTAGTGTGTGTTAATGAGAGGAAGGTGACTTCTGTACTTCTCTTTACTGCCTACAGTATGTAACCAACTTTGGAGTGCTGTGTGTAGTCTCCCAGCACAGTACTTCTTTGTGTTTGTTCCTCCTAAGTTTATGAATGTATCTGATAGTTGGAGCTTGAATATTAATGATACCAGTTTACAAGTCTTTTTCATTAAGTTGAAAAATAAAACTTAGAACTTTGAGATTATAAAGACTTTTAAAAAGAAGGAAATAATGTCAGTAAGAAAAAAATGTGTTTACTTTTAGGACTCTTCAGTTTCGGAAGCTACTTATTTGTATATAACTGTAGGCACACTCTCTGTCCTCTGAAGTTAGAAATGGCTGTGATTAAAGCAGCACGCTGGGCAGATATGTGTGTTGCATATCTTTCTTGTGTTTTGTTGTTGTCATGGTTGTTAATATCTCAAGCCTTCCTTTAGGAAGAATTGTGGTTCTAAGTCCTGTGCTCCATCTGAACTTGTCTCAATGACTGAAGTCTCCTTTTCTCTGCTCTTCGTCGCTCTGCTTTTTGCTCTGTGCTGTTTCTTGGGCTGCATTTGTCCTTGGCTGTCAAGGTGTGGGGTGCAAACAGACTTTTATGAACTGAAGCTATGGATACACGTGTGCATTAATTCCACCCTTGAATGTTAACCACTTCAGGTAATTTCCCATTTATTAGGTTAAGTTTTTCTGACATTCAAGGGTGGGGGAAAGGTTTTTTTGTTTGTTTGTTTGTTTTTGTATTTTAAGTGTTATGAGTGGGGAACATTTTTTAATTCCTGACTTTTCTCCTTTAAATAAATAATATAGACACTCTTGAAAATATCACATGACATTTTATGGTCAATTTACAAAACATTATCATACTTAAAAATAAATTATACCTTTCTCTAATTATAATTTTAAGGCTTGTTTGTAGTATCATTGTGTAAAATGGTGTTATTCATATGAAAGAATTAATTGTTCCAGCTGTTGAGGTTGGTACTGCTTTCTAGAACTTGTCCACTTAATTTTTGTGGCCCAAACTGCCTTCCTATAATTACAAGAGTATATATAAATCATTGAAGAGAGCATAGACCTGTAGGTTACAATCTTGTTTATAATTAAAATTTTCAGACGTGTTTGTAAACTAACAACTTTTTATGGGACTTTTTAATTTTATTTTTAAAGGATTTGTTTTATGTGTATGAATGTTTGGGCTGCATGTATGTATGTATGTGTACCATGTGCATGCCTGATGCCCAAGGAGGCCAGAAGAGGGTGTTGGATCCCCTGGAATTGAAGTTAGACAACTGATTATGAGCCAGGTGGATGTTGGGAACTGAACTAGGGCCCTCTGTAAGATCAACAAGCACTCTTAAACTTAGAGCCATCTCTCTAACCCAGTACTTTTATATTATATTTTATTTTGTTCTTATTTTGGTCTTTTTAAAAAATTTTATTTTATATGTATGCATGTATTGCCTGCATGTAGGTAAGTGCTCCCATGTCATGCAATGCCCACGGAGGTCAGAAGAGGCTGTCGGATCCCCTGGGACTGGAGTTACAGACAGTTGTTAGCTGCCATGTGGGTGCTGTGATTCGAACCCGGGTCTTCTGCAAGAACAACCAGTGTTCTTAACCACTGAGCCATCTCTTCAGCCCCTTATTTTGGTCTTTTTAAGACAGGGTCTCCTGTAGCCCCAGCTGGCCTAGAACTCGCAATGCAGACCAGGCTGGCCTCAAACTCACAGAGATCTGCATGTTTCTGCCCTCCCAGAGTTCTGGGATTAAAGGCGTGCACCATTACACCTGGCATTGGGACTATTTATTTATTTATTTATTTATTTATTATTTTTGGTCTTTTTGAGACAGGGTCTCCCTGTAGCCACAGCTGGCCTGGATTCACTATGGAGACCACACTGGCCTTGACTCACAGAGATCCGCCTGCCTCTGCCTCCCTGATTAAAGATGTAGGCCACCACACTGGGCTGGGACTTTTATTTTAAAGCTACCTTATTTTGTTTCCTTGGACTTTTCCCTCATACTTTTGAAGAAATGAGTTTTATGTATTAAAAAGGCCAAGTACATAATTTTTGACCCGTAACTATTCAAGTTTTTTAAACATTTTTTTAAGGCAATTTGGTCTTTTACTGAAGGGGGAATAAACAGTCTCTTAGTAATTCTAGGTAATTAGTATAAAGATTTCAGCAGTTGGGGCAGAACTTTTGATTCCATTTTCATATATTTTCAATGTGTCTAATGACTGATAGGAGATACTGAATTTATAGTGATTGTGTGTTTGCACAGGGTTTCTAGTGATACTGTGTGACATTTGGGAGTCTTCTAGCCCAGATGCTGATTGTGTTCTTTTCATTAATGGCTACCTTGTAGACTCTATTCACTTGATACCTGATACTGAGGCACTTAGCTCCTTGGGGACTCCTGGTTTCATTAGTTCAACTCTTTCCTAGTTTGTTACTCAACTCATGGTACCATATTTTAACAGCAGACTTTCTGAGGAAGCCAACCAGAACAACTGAAGTTAATAAATCTTAAAATTTTATGGCATTCATTCATTCATTCATTCATTCATTTGTGTGTGTGTGTGTGTGTGTGTGTGTGTATGTGTGTGTGTGTATGTTCACATGTTTGCATGCCCAAGCTTACCATGACTCATATAAGGAGGTCAGAGGACAGCTTGTGGAAGTCTGTTGTCTCCTTCCACTATGTGGGCCTTGGGGATAAAATTCGGCTGGTCAGGCCTGGCAGCAAGACTCATTACCCACTGAGCCATCTTGCCTACCCCAAAGTTTGTAGTTCTAAATAGTGGTGCTGAAAGAAGTTAAAATCTTTTGGCATATGGCAAACCTAATGTTGGAATGGTAGTGTAATTGTGGTGGAGAGCGTGGCATATATTATGTGTCATTCATTGACATCTTTATAACTTTTTTTTTAGTAGCTGGTCTTAGTGTTGACTTTAAATTATATATAAACTATATTCAAAACAGATTTCTTAGAAACATCATTTTGTAATTTGCAATATTTGCTTTATTGTTTTCTTTTATCTTTTTCTTTTTTTTTTTCTTTGGTCTTTTTGAAGCAGGGTCTCCCTGTAGCCCCAGCTGTCCTGGAACTCACTGTGTAGACCAGGCTGGCCTTCATCTCACAGAGATCCGCCTGCCTCTGCCTCCCAAGTGCTGGGATTAAAGGTGTGCACCACCACGCCCGGCATTATTATCATGTTATCCTTGTTGGAAGATTTATTTTGTTGAATGTTCTTTAATTTGTGTTTGTATATTTCCTTGTAGTTAGAATATATGGATCTTTAAGTGTTATCTCCTCAGATTATTACATTTCTAGAGGCAAAAAATATCTCTATGGCCTTCATTGGTTATTTTGATCACTTGATCTCAATGTAGTCTGGCTTCTCTGCATAGAAATCTTTTCCCCATTATAGATATTAAGCTATCTTTGGGAGGTTGGGGAAATTGAGACCACATGGTAATATCCCATTTCTCATCACACTCTTTAAAATTTAGCACCCATTAATGAAGCTTGCTGAACCACTCTTTGATGGTTACAAATATGGTGATTACACTACTTCTATATTTATAAGATGGGCATTCTAATATATGCACGAATTTCTTTTCTCTTTTTTATCAGTATAGATTCATGGATTGCTATATTGCTCAGTGTATTATATAATGTCTTACCATCCTTACTCATCAGATTACCTCTGTGTTGGCCCAGAGCTGGCTCCTTTGAACTCATTATTTCCCTTAGACACGTTTATGGGTTCTTTTGGGGGGCAACAAATGCCCCTGCCCCTGAGCTCAGTTATCAGTCATTTGTTTCAACAGTAGCAGCTTCCTTTTCATGGAAACTGGATTTTAGGTCTTCTCCCTGCTGTCCAAGGTTGTGGTGACTCTGCTTTTAAGACTCCTAGCAAACAAGACTAGAAACTAATTGCGTATTTGTATTTTAGAAATGCCTCTAATTCCAAATCAACCTTAGAAGGTTCTTCTGATTATTTCTTTGGTCCATTTAAAAAAAATTGGGGGTGGGGTGAGTGGTTGAGGGGCTGTAGCTGGGTAGTACAGTGCTTGCCTAGTATACACAAGGCCCTAAATTTAATTCTCAGTATCACACACACGAAAGCCCCTATGTACTTTCATAGTAAGCACCTTGTTTCCTAATAATCACATTTAGTTGTTTGCTCAGTCCTACAATATTCATAAAACAGTTTCAAGTGGGAGGGAGGATTTGGTTTGGGCATTTTAAAGATACATAGTATGAACCAGGCAAGGTGGCACATGCCTTTAATCCCAGCACTTGGGAGGCAGATGCAAGTGGATCTCTGTGAGTTGAGGCCAGTCTGGTCTATATAGCAAGTTCCAGGTCAGCTGGGGCTACAGGGAGACCCTGTCTCCAAAAGACCAAAAAAAAAAAAAAAAAAAGGAAGATACATGATATGTATATGTGAAATTGTCAAAGAATAAATAAAAATTGTTCTAATTTTTTTTCAAATTCATCACAAGGGAACAAACTTACTTAGCTTTTCTAGACTTAACTTACATGCTTTTAGAGTATATACTCCAAATAATGTATTTAAAAGTTCAATTCAAGGGGTAGGAAATTGGGGGTAGTGCAAGGGAACTACCCAGCAGGGTCTGCTCCACCCATGGTGAAAGCCCAGGGCCTGCCTGGAAGAAAAGTTGAATTCAGAGCTGGGTATGGTACCTGTGATCCTAGTACTTGGGAGGTAGAGGGAGGAGTATCTGGAATTTCAAGATCAGCCTGTGCTATATAGCAAGTTTAAACAAACAAAAATGTTTAATTCAGGTCTGGTGATGTAAAGGTGATCGCTACTACAGCTAATGACCTAGTTCAAATCTTGGGACCCACATGGAGAGAACCAACTGCTAGTAGCTGTCCTCTGATCTCCACACGTGCACATGCACACACATAAATGTAATTTTAAAAAATTTAAGCTGGGCGTGGTAGGGCATTCCTTTAATCCCAACACTCAGGAAGCAGAGGCAGGCAGATCTCTGTAAATTCTAGGACATCTGGGGCTACAGGGAGACCTGCCTCAAAGACCATAAAAAAGAAAAAAGAAAAAAAGTTTAATAAAGTTACTTGGGCTCTTCCCCTCCTGACCCTTACAGTTTGCTTAATGTTGTTGCATTTGCCTTTCAGATTCTATCTGCATCAGTTTTAGATCTCACCCTCATTTTGTTGATTTAGTTTTTTTGGATATGTAGAAATTATATGTCCAAAAATAAAATCAGTACAATAAACCATACTTCAAATGGTGCTGGAGAGATGGCTCAGCAGTTAAGAGCACTGGCTGTCCTTGCAGAGGACCCAGGTTCAGTTCCCAGCACCCAAATGGCTGCTAACAACTATCCATAGTTCAGTCCCAGGGGATCTGACACCTTCCTCTGGTTTCCATAGGCATTGTGTGCACGGGTGCACTTACATGCAAGCAAAACACTCATACACATAAAATAAAAATAAATAATTTTTTTAAAAAATTAAAATTTCCTCTCTGCTTTTTCCTCCACTACTTATTGGTGACCATTTTTGTTGTTTTCTGATTTGTCATTCTTACATTTCTTTTGCAAAAGCAAGCAGGTGTGTGTGTTTTAGTCCCTTTTCTTTCCTATAAAAAAGGGCAATATGCTGTATACCCTCTCCACAAGAGGCTTCAAACATGTTGTCCAGATTGCTTTTAATTTAGATGAGGAAATTGAGGTTTGATGCTTTCCAAGGCAGAGTGGCCTTCAGTCTGATGTTCTGCTTCTTCTGGTCTTTGCTTCTTGTTTTTAAAAATGCTGTGTGTGTCTTGTGGGCTTTCTTATCTTTTCTCTAGGTTTAATTGGGTAGGTCAGTGGAAAATTTTTTTTGGTATTTTTATGAATGGATTTTAAGTTTATGAAAATATTTACATGCTTGCATTTTTTTAAAACAGGTGGTCAGTCTGACCAAGGCTATGGCTCTAAAGATGAACTTATAAAGGACTATGCAGAGATTCGTGTGCCTGAAGAGCAAATAGCACAAGAATTGATAACTACAACGAAATTGCAGATAGAAGGCTAGTACTGACATTTATAAGCTTTCTTTAGAAAAATACTTATATTCTTTTATCTTATTTGGTGATTTTGGCAATAATTTTCAGGATTAGCTTATTTTATGATAGACTTTGATATTCTCTGAGGTTTAGAATTTAAAATACTTTAGAAAATTTGTAGATCACCCTTAATTTTGCAAGAAAGTACCATCCATTGGCAAAGTTTCATGGATAACTTCATAGTAAAGACTGACCTTGAACTCCTGTTCCACCTGCCTCTATCTTCAGAGTGCTAGGACAACAGGCATATGCCAGTCACCACACCCAGCAGTAGGATTAAACTTTGGGTTGTCAAACTGATATCCCAGTATTTCTCCCACTGACTCTGGTGCTTGGGATCATACCCAGGTTCTTTCCAGACAAACACTCTACTACTGAACTACATCCCCAGGCACCAAGGTTCCTTTGATTTTTAAAATGGTTTTTCATTAGAAAACCTTCAATTGTGTAAGTGCATTTTTTTTTTTTAGTAGGTTAAAAATAGCCTATGTGGTTTTCCTGGTTTTTTTTAGAGGACTCATTGAGGTAGAGACAATTTGTTGTAATCATTTTATGGAAATACAAGGAGTATTTTGGTTTGTGGTAAAAAGTTCTTCCTGATCTCTTACATGAAAGTACTTTCTTTGATTATGTTACTTAAATGGAAGACGTAGAAGTCAAGGCGTGGGGCTTAATTAATTCACTCAGGGGCACTCATGTTAGGATATTTGAAAGCTAGAACAAAACATTTGTTTCAGTCAGCACTCTTGGTATTTATGTCCAAGTAAGCTGGATACAATAAATCAGTTAAAAAATTATGTGTTCCTACTTGAGGAAAGACTACATCCATATGTAAAAAATCTCCATGGTTTCTGATTATTATTGGCAAAAGTAGAAATGAAATATCCAAATATGTTTTCCAGAGGTGTGTGATGTATTACCTGTTGTCTCAAAACGTTCACAACCTAGTCCAGAGCCTCAAAGTCCTACTGAGCCTCCTGCAGGGGGCAGCAGTATTGTGAAAGCTCCATCTGGAATATTTGACACTACTAACAGGACAAGGAGCACTGGTGAGTGTATAAAATATTCAGAAAGCATTGGGTTTTCTTGTTGTTTCTCATTCTTTCTTTGAGACAGAATCTCATCAGATGGTCAAGCTGGCCTTGAACTTGGCATTTCTATACCTCAGCCTCCTCGGTGCCAAGATTATAGACGTGTACTACTATGCCCAGCTGACTGTGTCTTTAATGATATTAGTTTTGTTGACTTAATTATAATGGATATGTTAGGAATCCATGAGTCTGAATTCTATGACTCAAGAAAACTTAAAATTTTGTTTCTTAAAGGTACAGTTGGGATCCCTGCATAGTGGCACAAAAAAGTAATAAATTTAAAACACATATGAGACTATATGTAAGTTACATGCAAATATTGTACCATTTTATGTAAGGGAGTTGAGCATTGGTGTATTTTATTTAGCATGTGAGATATGAAGGGACACCTGTATTTAATTTTTTAAGGATGAGTGTGCACTGTATTTGTTTCTTGGTATGCCTTTTCTATTGTAATACCTGGTCATTCTTTTTCATTACAGATAATAAGTACTGTAGGGCCTCCTGTTCTTGTCAAGAACAGAGACAGTTATATCTAATCCTAGAAGGTTTATGTATGGGAGGGTAATTCATATCACTAAAGGAAATGGAAGAAAAAGATACATGTCACTTCTGTACAAATATAATTAATAGTGGGTATTTAATTTTGTCCCATTTGTTATAATTACTCTAAGCTACTTTTTTGGGGGGGGTCTTTTTGAAACAGGGTCTCCCTGTAGCCCCAGCTGTCCTGGAACTCACTATGTAGACCAGGCTTGCCTTGAACTCACAGAGATCTGCCTGCCTCTGCCTCCCAGTGCTAGGACTACAGGCTTGCGCCACCACATGTGGCTTACTACTTATTTTTTATTACATATTTGTAATGAACACTGTTGTATGTGACTCACTTCAAGTTGAGTTTATGATACCAATTATTTGGGTTTTTTTTAATTTTTAAAATTTATTTTTTAAAGCGGGGAGGCAAAACAAAAAACCTAGGTGTGGTAGTCAGATGCTTTTAATCCCAGCACTTGGGAGGCAGAGGCAGGCAGATCTCTGTGAGTTCAAGGCCAGCCTGGTCTACATAGTGATTTCTAGGCCAACTGGGGCTACAGAGAGACCCTGTCCCAAAAGAGGTCCCCCCCTCCAATTTATTATTTTATTTTTATTTTGTATGAAATTTTTGCCTGCATATAAGTTTGCCCTTGAGTGCAGTGCCTGAGGAGGCCAGAAAAGGACATCACAATCCTTAAAATTGAAGTTGTGTTATGGATGGCTGGTGCTGGGTGCTGGGAACCAAATCTGGGTCCTCTGCAAGGGCAGTGCTCTTAACTGCTAAGCCATCTCTCCAGCCTCTCATGGGTTTTTTTGTTTTGTTTTGTTTTTTGTTTTGTTTTGAGGAGGATGGGAGTAATATTTAAGAGAAGGGGCACTGAAGGGTAGACATCATCAGAGAATATTGAAGTGGAAGTGCTCTACTGACTGCTGTGCTTCCTTCCATTTTCAGTAATAAGATGTTCATATACAACTTTCCTTTTTGGGACAGAGATTGAAATGGAGTCTTGCTATATAGCCCAGGCTGGCCTTGAACTTGTACTTCTTAAATTTCTGCCTCCTGAGTTCTAAAATTGTAAGAGTGTACCACCATGCCCACAACTGCAGAAATTTCTTACAGTTCTAAGGTTAGAGAGTTGAAGACCAGGTACCACATGAAGAATTTTACTGGGGGTCCTCTTCTAGATTGCACACACCCTCCTGCTTCTAGTATCTCAACAAGGGTAAAGGAAAGTGAGGACTTGGGCCTGGGAGAATATGCCAGTAATCCTAGAATGTGGGAGACAGAAGCAGGAGGATGAGCAATCCAAGACAGGTTTCTGGATTCTCCTTTATAAGGACCTCAATCCCATTCATGAGAGCTCCACCTTTATCACCTAATTATCTCCCAAGGACCTTCTTTCATACCACCATATGGGAGTTAGGATTTCAACAGGAGTTTTATGGGGGCATAACCATTCAGGTAGTCTTAAAATTCTTTTTCCAGTTTTTGTTGTTGAGATGATCTCACTATGTAGCCCAGACTGACCCTGAACTCAAGATCCTCCTGCTTCAGCCTTCCCAGTATTACATTTAAAAATTTATTTTATTCATTATTATTATATTGCGGGGGGGGGGCATGTGCCGTAGTGCATGTGCAGAAGTCAGAAGAAAACGTTATGACGTTGATTCTCTCCTTCCACCTTTATATGGGTGCTGAGGGTCAAACCCAGGTTGACAGGATGAGCCATCTCACCAGCCTTGAGATAGGGCTCGTGTACTTCAGACTTGCACTTGCTATGTAGGAGAGAAAAATGTGCCCTTACATTCCTGATCCTCCAGTGCTGGGATTACAGCCGTGCTGGGCCAGAATGTTAAATTTTACTAAATATTCAAATAAATAGCTTTTGGTCTTGGGAACAGAAAAAAATTGTATTGCAAAGAGTGAAAAACCACTTGCTTTCCCCCAAAGCATGAGTTGGTTCATTTTTTGATTTATTTATTTTTATTTTATATGTATCAGTGTTATGCCTACATGCATGGAAGTGCACCCATGTCATGCAGTGCCTGTGGAGGACAGAAGAGGACATCAGATCCCCTGGAATTGGAGTTACAGATGGTTGTTAGCAGCCATGTGGGTGCTGGGATTTGAACCCAGGTCTTCTGCAAGAATAACCAGTGCTCTTAACCACTGAGCCACCTCTCCAGCCTAGAAATTGGTTCTTAAGGCTACAGGCATAGTTTTGTTTTATAGATCCAATATGTCTGCTTTATTTGCTGTTGTTTTCCTAGCCCCTTACATAGTCGATATTTGTTGAAGGACCAAATAGAACTTGGAAAAAAAAAATACTCAAGAGTTCATCAACCTTCTTAGAATTTTACCAATTCTGGACTTTTTTTTTTTTTCTTTTTGCTTTAAAGCAGTTCTTTTATTTGGGATAGTAATACTATGGCTATATCAGACGTATAATCTCTCCATGATTCTAAGCTTGCTTTGTACAGAATAGATCTCCTCCCCCCAGCCTCTGTGTGTGTGTGTGTGTGTGTGTGTGATATTGGGATCCAATCTGGTTCTTTTTTATGTGAAGTAAGTACTCTACCACTCGGCTATATTCCCAGGTCCCTGGCAAGAATTTGTTGAATTGGATATGTGAAAGCTAATTGTAAGAGATTATTTCTTTTGGGGTCTGTCATTTAACTCAGAATATTGACTCTTAAAATATAAGAATAGACCTATACTTATTGACAGATGTGAACAGTACAGGTATATTGAGCATATATTGCTGATCTGTGTTTTCATAGGTATCCATAGAGGTTAGACATTAAAATGTTACCTGTAAGAGGCAGGATGGAATAGTTGGGGGTACTTTCTTCTGCAGACCTTCTTTATACCTTTTAAATTCTCTGAATATTTTTCCCTGGAGCATGTGTCACTTTCAGAGACCGAAAAACAGTAATCTTTGTTACATTGGAAAATAGTAAAGGTTTGTTTTTAATATTTTACTGTCCCTTTTAGGAAGTACAGCAAATGTGCTGTTCTCTACTCAAGATCCAGTTGAAGATGCTATCTTTGGCGAAGTTGCTAATTTCAAGAAGAATGACGATAGAGGAGAAAAAAGACAAAAGCATTTTCCAGAGAGGAGCTGTAGTTTTAGTTCTGAAAGCAGAGCAGGGATGCTCCGGAAGAAGAGCAGTTTGGACTTGAATTCAAGTGAAATGGCTATCATGATGGGCGCAGATGCCAAGATCCTTACAGCAGCGCTGACGTGTCCCAAGACTCCACTTCATGCCACAAGAACGCATAGCTTTGAGAGTGTTAGTTGTCATCTGACTGATGCCAGAACTCATATATCAGAAAGCTCTTGGGATTCTGAGCACAAGTCATCTCCTGTGCTAGAAATGCTTGAGGAAAGCCAAGAGCTAGAGCCTGTGGTTGATGATAATGTAACTGAAACGACTACTGCAAAGGTTACATGTGACAGTCTACAAAATGACAGGAACAATAATCAGTCCAGAGACTCCCAGGATGCAGAATCCCAGGATGCAGTGAACAAGAGAAGTAGTTCATATGGTATTGCTAAAGCCATCGAGAGGGAAGATGTTGAAACTGGACTAGATCCTTTGTCTCTTTTAGCTACTGAATGTGTAGAAGAAACAACTCCCGATTCTGAAGATAAGTTATTTTCTCCAGTAATTTCACGTAATCTAGCTGATGAAATTGAAAGTTATATGAACCTAAAAAGTCCTCTGGGTAGTAAATCTTCTAGTATGGAATTGCACAGAGAGGGAAGCCATGAGCCTGGCACTGTTCCTTCATTTATTCACCCTTTAGAAAGGAGACCAAGCCTACCTTCAGATCATGGTGTGCCGGTAGCACAAGAAAACCTGAAAATTGAAAAGTGCTCCCCTGCAGTGTCTAGGCCTAAAACTGGGCGTTGGAAGCAGCAAACTCCTCATCGAACTTACAAAGACCGTTCCACTTCTTTATCAGCATTTGTACGCTCTTCACCAAATAGCTCTCTGGGTTCTGTGGTAAATTCTTTGTCAGGGCTAAAGTTGGATAATATCCTTTCAGGGCCCAAGATAGATGTTCTAAAATCTAGTATGAAACAAGCTGCAACAGTAGCAAGTAAAATGTGGGTGGCTGTAGCTTCTGCCTACAACTACTCTGATGACGAGGTAAGAAAGTTGTACATGTATAGTCTATCTGATATAGGAATGTTTGTAGTACCTTAATGTATATATTTGTGTGTATGTATAATTTAGAGATTTCTGATTTTATATATATTTTAAAACTTTACACGTTTTGTTTCATAAAGTAACTTTAGGAAAGTTATTTTAGAACGAGACCCTGCCTCAAAAAAAGAGCAGCAATCTGCTAAAAGAGATTGAGGTTGAGAGCTGTCCAGAAAAAAATCAAGCAGATGGTCTCTAAGTTGGGCTTTCAGGGACGAATTTGAAATTTTGGATTAATCAGAAATGGAGTGGTAAAAATGTTATCTCAGAAAATAGTTTGGGGGAAAAAAAGTAACTTTAAAACAATGTATCTTCAAGATAATATAATTTCAGATTGCTGAAGTTCTAGGAAGTAAAATCAGTCAAAAAATAAAAAGTAGAAAGTAAAGAACTAGGAAAAGAAATTGGACAGGTAAAGCATAATTTTTGGAGAAAATCTATAGGAAAAGTGCTACTTGAATAAAAGGAATATTATGACAACAAAGCAGCTTTTTCTTTGTTGTCAAGGCCTTTGCACATGCTGGCTAACATCCAGCTACTGTACCCACATCCCTTTGTAAATACAGCCTTTGTATTTGGAGAGCCCTACAAGGTCAGTCAGTGGAACACAAAATAAAATGACTTCAAAAGCCTAAGGCCAGACATGTGGCTCACTTGGTAGTGTGCTATCCTAGCCCACAGGATGCCCTTAGTTTGATCCCCAGCAGTGTTTATGTGTGCACGCATGCCTGTGTGTGGAATGAGGGCTTAACTTGGTATTATGATAAAGAACAGAGTGAAACCATTTTCTTTTCAAAATTTTATCTAACATTGTTTTAAAGAATATTTTTAGTTGGTTTTTGGACTTGGTGTGCATGGCATAGATTCTAAGTGGTCAAGGATCAGGGCCCTTTGGTGTGTAGCCCTGGCACAGGGAGTGGAGCCTGGCTTAGAGCAAATAGGATCTACCTAAGGAGTGTTTTCAAATGAAAGAGTAAATTAAAGATTTATAAGATGTTTGTAAATTTTATCCAGAATTTAGAGAAATAAGGTTATGTGTAAAAATAACTCAAAAGATCTGTCAGTATGGCTCAGGCAAGGTGGCACACGCCTTTAATCTCAGCACTTGGGAGGCAGAGGCAAGTGGATCTCTGTGAGTTCCAGGCCACCTGGGGCTACAGGGAAACCTTGTCTCAAAAAGACACCCCCCCCCAAAAAAAAAAGATCTGTCAATGTAATTTGTATAAGAATTAAAGCATTTGGATGCTTAGCAATAGGGGGTTTACTAATTACATGATGATGCATAAGTCAAGCAGTGAGTTCACCTGGGGCATAGCACAATCTTCTTTTGAAGTAGGACACTTTGGGGGGAGGGGGCAGGGCCTTGACACACCCATCCCCTGTAGTCACTTCTTGCATACCTTAGACTCAAGATAGTTTCAAAAACTCACTGAGATGTCTTTATGGTTTTGAAAACATATAGGGATGATTTGCTTTAAGATGTGGTAAAGTGAATATATTCCCATTGCAGATGACATTATTTATGTATGTGGGGCTTTATTCTTTTTAATTAAAGGAAGAAACTAATAGAGATAGAGATTATAGTTTCCCAGCTGGCCTAGAAGATCATATTTTGGGGGAGAATGTATCACCCAGTACAAGTGTCTCAGGCCTAGTTCCCGGCGAGCTTACCCAGAGCAACACCAGCCTGGGCAGCAGCAGTAGCGGAGAAGGTGGAAAACTGCTGTATGCGACAGGTATGGGGAGGCTTGGCCTTCGGCATTTTGTCTCTGCTGTTTTATTTGTTTGTGGTGCTGAGGATGGAACCCAGGGCCTCTGCATGCTAGGCAACTCTACTGTGGCCCTTCATGTCCACCCTGTTTGTTCTAATTCAAATACTCAAACCCTCTTGTATACCCGTACATCCTATCTGTTGCTTTGTTTGGGGGTTTTTTTAGTTTTGGTTTTTGAGACGGGGTGTCCTGGAACGCATTATGTAGAACAGGGTGACCTTGAACTCACAGAGATGACCTGCCTCTGCCTCCTGAGTGCTGGGCTTAAAGGTGTGCATCACCACACCTGACCATTGTTGCTTATCTTTTGACTAACTTTTTTTGTGGGGGCGGGGGTCTTTTTGAGACAGGGTCTCCTGTAGCCCCATCTGCCCTGGAACTCACTATGTAGACCAGGCTGGCCTTGAATTCACAGAGATCCACCTGCCTCTGCCTCCCGAGTGCTGGGATTAAAAGCATGCAACACTGTGCCTGGCAATCTTTTGACTGACTTTACTTCCTAGAGCTTTAGCAGTCAAAAATTATATTACCTTAAAGATATATGAAGTTCTGTGTTCTTTTCACACTATTTTTTCAGAACTTGTGGGATGGGTCCTAGGAATCTGAATATTTTTTGTTCTCTGGGTTAATCAGTGCCTGAACTAGACTTTAAAGACCTGGGGAGTACCACTGAAATTTCTTACCTCTATGTTATTTAAAGATGTATTTAGCCAGGGGTAGTGGCACACACCTTTAATCCCAGCACTTGGGAGGCAGAGGCAGGAGGATCTTTGTGAGGTCAAGGCCAGCCTGGTCTACATAGTGAGTTCCAGGACAGCTGGGGCTACAAGGAGATCCTGTCTCAAAAAGACCAAAAAAAAAAAAGTATTTTTTTTTTTTTTTTTATTTATGTGCCTGATACCTGAGGAGGCCAGAAGAAGGCATCAGATCCCCTGGAACAGGAGTTATAGATGGTTGTGAGCCACTGGGTGGATGCTGAGAACTGAGCCTGGGTCTACTGAAAGAGCAGCAAATGCTCTTAATCTCTGAGCTGTCTCCCCCCACCCCAGTGTTATTTAAAATTTTTGTTATCTAATTTTTTTCAGTCTTATCATTTAGCCTCAAACCTCATAATCTTCTTGTCTCACCCTCACAAGTGCTGGGATTACAGGTGTGCACTTGTGACTTTCTGCATTTTTATTAGGAATCTTGAAAAGTTGAAGAATTATATATCCTCTACCTAGATTTAACTTTTATATTATCTATGCATATATTTATATGCACATACATATTTATATATTGAACCATTTGAAAATAAATTTCAGCTTTCATGATCCTTCCCTCCTATATACTTTAGCATATTTTCCAAAGCATTAAGAACATCCTTGGGCTGGGGAGGTGGCTCAGTGGTTAAAGCAACAGCACAAGGAGCAGAGTTTGGATCCCTAGATCCCATGTAAATGTAATTCCATCACGGGAAGGCAGGGGTGGGATTCCCCAGAGCAAGCTGGCTAGCAAGACTAGCCATGTTGGCAAGCTCTGGATTTGACTGAGAGACCTACCTCACTGAATAGGGTGGAAGAGTGATGGAGGATGATTCCCAACATCAACCTCAGGCTACCTACCACATACATGCACACTCACACATGTGTGCCCATACACATGTAAAACATGCGTATACATGCAGACAGGTGAAAATGGAAAAATAAAAAGAATATTCTCCTATATAATGTATTACATTTTTATGTTTCTTATTCCTTTTTAGGTGAAGTTCCATTTTCAAGAAATATAAAGGGGCAGGACTTTGAAAAATCAGACCATGGTTCTTCTCAGAATACCAGCATGTCTAGCATCTATCAAAATTGTGCAATGGAGGTAAAAATTCTATATTCTACCTATGATAAAATGGTTATAGACATCTTTTTGTTGTATAATAGCATTTAGTAGGATTCTGTGAGATCCATATGGACAGAACAGTAACATAAGTCATTTTATTGAACTTGCTTCATATCTTGTACAAATAAGGCAATGGACTTGTAGTTTTATCTGTAATATAAGTTAAAAGAACTATTAACTCCAGGTGTGACCATAGAATAACTACAGCTTGTTTCCAGAGAACAACCTATTGAGATTGGTTTCTCACATAGAGACCGAAGTGTCCTTACTTCTCTTAGGTGCTGATGTCAAGCTGCTCACAGTGCAGAGCTTGTGGAGCTCTAGTTTATGATGAAGAAATTATGGCTGGATGGACAGCAGATGATTCAAACTTGAATACAACCTGCCCATTCTGCAAAAACAATTTCTTGCCTCTTCTCAATGTCGAATTTAAGGACTTGAGAGGCTCTGCAAGGTTAGTATTACAAAAGCTTCTCCAAGAGGTAAGTGTTCCACAGAAGACTTGGCTCTTGGGCCAAGAGTGAAACATTCATAGTATGTACATAGTATGCCCTAAGCAAGTCTTTTGTTCCTTCCTTCACCTTCAGTAGGGAAACAGAGACTAGTTTTCTATCTTATTTAGTATATGATTACCAGTAGTAATTTTTTTTTTTTTTTTTGAGATAGGGTCTCCCTGTAGCCCCAGCTGGCCTGGAACTCACTATATAGACCAAGCTGGCCTTGAACTCACAGAGATCCACTTTCCTCTGGCTCCCTTGTGCTGGATTTAAAGGATTGCACTACCACACCTGGCCACAAGTAGTAAATTCATAGTGTTAAACTGTAGGTCATTCAAGACTCTTTGGGGTTACTTCAAAACTTCTTATGCTAAGTAGGCAGCTTAGTTGTTAACATGCTTTCTGTGCTAATATGAGGCCCTGAATTGGATCCCCAACATCTCTGTGAAAAACTGTACTGGGGAAGTTTTAGCACTGGGGAGGTAGAGACAGGTAGATCTCTGGAGCTCACTGGCCAGCCAACCTAGCTAAATTAGTGAACTCCAGGTTCAGTGAGAGATGCTACCTCTTTTTTAGAAAATGGGATAGAGAAGTGGCTCAGCAGTTAAGAGTGCATAATGCTGCAGCAGAGGACCTGAGTTCAGCTCCCAGCACCCACTTCAGGCAGCTCACAGTCACCTTTAACTCCAGCTCCAGGGGAATCTAAAGCCTCTGATCTCTGCAGGCACAGGCACTTAAGTGCACATGCCCACATACAGGCACACACATACACATAACTAAAAATAATACTTCTTGAGCCGGGCGTGGTGGTGCACGCCTTTAATCCCAGCACTTGGGAGGTGGAGGCAGGCGGATCTCTGTGAGTTTGAGGCCAGTCTGGTCTACATAGTTCCAAGCCAGCTGGGGCTACAGGGAGACCCTGTCTCAAAAAGATGCCTCCCCCCCAAAAAATACATTTTTTTTTTTAATTTTAAGGAGTGATTGAAGAAGACACCAGACTTGTGGTCTCCACAGGCATGTACAGGGGTGCATACACGCACACCTGAATGTGCACATAACTACACAAATACATACGTACAAAACTTTTGCCTTGGTGACCTAAATTATGTCTTCAACTTTTGTTGCCACTATCTGGTGCAGTGAAATGAACAAATCCTCAGCAACAGAAATGAGACTGAGTAGGGACTGGTGATATGGCTCGGGAGTAGAGCCACTTGCCTAGCATGCATGATCCCCAGTCCTATAGAAAAGGAAGGAGGGAAGGAAGAGGAGGAGGGAGGGAGGAGGGAGGGAAATGAGACTAACAGGTCAGTAATCAGTTATTAAGTAATTGAAAGTTTAGTGAATAATTAAGAAATGTATTGATTTATCTATCATCGTATCCATCCATCCATCCATCTCTTTCTTCTTTCATTAGTTTAATAGTCCTGAGAAACTGAAGCAGTCTTATACTTCCGTAGACCTTTTCATTTGCAAATTTTAGTATTGGAAGAGCAGAAAGAGTGACAGTAGATGTGTGTGTGCTTGAAGTACGTGGTATTTTCCTATGGGTTGTCAGTCAGTTAATGGCTACTTTATTAAAGTAATTCTAAGTGTAAAAATTTGAATACTTGGGAATTTAATGTTGTATTGTATATGGTGTGTGTGCGTATGTGTGTCCATGTGTGTCCAGGTATGGAGACCACAGGACAACTTTCTAGAGTCAGTTCCTTCCACTGTGGGCTCTGAGATCCAGCTTGGGTCCTCAGACTTTCCATGCAAGCTTGTTTACTCACTGAGCTAGCCTTGAGCTAGCCTGGACTCTTTCTTTCTTTTAAGGCTTTTTCTTTTTTTCTGCTCCATAATTAGCTTTTTCTTGAAACCAAGTACCTCTGGTGACAGTTTACAAAGTGGCAGTATTCCACTGGCAAATGAACCCTTGGAGCACAAACCTGTTTGCAGTTCAGCAGAACCTGACTTGATCAGCTTTATGGACCTCCCGAAACCCAACCAGACGATAACTGAAGAAACAAGCTACACAGTTGAATCAAGGTACCACAGGGTGCACAGAAGTCACAGAATAAATTAGATACTCCTGTAAACATTCTGTATGTGAGGAAAACTGCCTGAACTGCCTGGGCATGGTGGAGCATCTCTGTAATCCTAAAACTCTACAAACTGAGACGAGGATTTACCAAGTTCAAGGCCAATCTGGGCCTAGTTATTGAGACCCTTTCTAACCCTGCCCTCCACCCCAATTGTAAATCAGATTTTGTCTCTATTCTTAGGGAGAATATGGCCTGGTAGAAATTAAATGTCAGCAAATCTGTACTTATTTATATGACTAAATATTTGTGATGATTTTGTTCAATAAAGATGAAAGGATGTTTTGTTTTTGAGAAAAAAAGTCTTACCATGTAGCCTTGGCTGGATGTAGGCTACTCTTCATGTAGACCAGGCTAGCCTCAAACTCACAGAAGTCCACTTACTAACTCTGCCTCCCGAATGTTGGAATTAAAGGCATGTGCCACCACACCCGGCAGAATAAAGTAATGTTTGAGTAAAACAACAGAATGCCCTCACTTTTTAACTTGTATCATAAATCCTTTCATACCCCTCACCAGTTATCCACTCCTTCTGTTCTTCTGACCCAGTTTTTTTTTTTTTTTTTTTTTTTTATCTGTTTGAGACAGTCTCCCTATAGCTCTAGCTGGCTTGGAACTCACTGTGTAGACCAGGGTGTCCTCAAACTCACAGAGATCCATCTGCCTCTGCCTCTGTCTCTCAAGTGCTGGGACTAAAAGCATGTGCCACCTGGCCTCTCACCAGTTTTATAAAAATGCTTGCAAACTGCTTTATCCTTTTATGGGGAGAAGGATACTAGTGATTGAACCCAGGGCCTCATTGGGATGCAAGTGAGCCATACCTCCAGTCCCAAGTTTAATTTATTAAAGGTGATGCTGCTGCTTCTCAGGTGTATTTAGGAAATTTGAACTCCATTGTAGAAAATGCCATACATAACCCTCTAGATTTAGATTGTTTTTTCATGACTAACAGAACTTTTTTTTTTTTAAGTGATGAAATAAAGAAAACCAGTGGAGATGTCCAGAGTGTGAAAATTTCATGTGTGCCTAACAGTTTATCCAAACGAAATGTATCTTTGACTCGAAGTCATAGTGTTGGAGGCCCTTTGCAAAGTATTGACTTCTCTCAGCGACCATTTCATGGCATTTCAACAGTTAGTCTTCCAAATAGTCTGCAGGAAGATGTGGTATGTAGTGTAATCATACTGTGTGTGCTTGTAAAATGGCTTTTGAACATGGCCTAATTTGTGGTAGACTCATTTTATTTTATCCTTTTTATTTTATGTGTATGAGTGCATTGCCTGCATGTGGATAGGTACAACTGTGACTTGCAGTGCACTCAGAGGTCAGAAGAGGGTGTCGGAACTGGAGTTTCAAACAGTTGTTAGCCATCATGTGGGTGCTGGGAATCAAACCTGGACCCTCTGCAAGAGCAACCAGTGCTCTTAACTGCTGAACCATTTCTCCAGCCCGGTAGACTCATTTAAATCACATGAAAAGGGATACATAAAAGTTTTTTGGTGGCTCACACCTAAGCACTCAGAAGGCCAAGACAGGATTTCTACAGTGAAAACCAGCATCCACATAAAAAAGCCAGGCATGGCAGTGTATGCGTATTAAATCCAAGCACTGGGAGACAGGAGGGTCCCTGGCCCTTTCTGGCCAGTCTAGCTGAATTGGTGATCTCCAGATTCCATTGAGATACTTTGTCTCATATAAAGGCAGAGAGTGATTGAGGAAGACATCCACTGTCAAGCTTTGACCTTCACACATACTTACCACATGCATGTATACACATGCATACATACCACACACACACAGACACATAAAAATTTGCCAGGTGTGATAACGAATATCTATATTCAGGAGGTAGAGGTAGGAAAGTGATAATTCAAGGTCAACCTGTCCCCCCAAAAAACAAAATCCATAAAACAACTGAAGACTTTTTCATCTTAAATTTGATTTATTATTTAATCAAATATATTTATTATTAGCTTTTTTAAATTTTTTTAAATTTTATTTTATGTATATGAGCATTCTGCCTCCATGTATAGAAGTGCACTCATGTATTCAGTGCCTGCAGAGGTCAGAAGAGAGCATTGGATCCCCTTGAACTGTAGTTAAGGACAGTGGTTAGCTGCCGTGTAGTTTCTGGGATCCAATCTAGGTTCTCTGCATGAGCAGCCAGTGCTCTTAACTGCTGAGCCATCTTTCCAGCCCTGGCTTTTTTAGATAGGCTCTTGCTATGTAGCTCTGACTGACCTGAAACTCACTATGTAGATTAGTTTGGCTTCAAACCTTGTGCCTGTCTCCCAAGTGCTAGAATTACAGGCATGTGCCACCACACCTGGCTTAAACTTTTTACTATGAAAATTTTTAGAGATGTGCAGAATTAAGTATATAATGAGTCATCATCTACCCATCATCTACCTTCAGTACGATTGAGTTTATGACCATTCTATTTTTTTTTCATCTTTTTTGTGACAGGGTCTCCCTGTAGCCCCAGCAGGCCTGGAACTCACTATGTAGACTACCCTGGCCTTGAACTCACAGAGATCTGCCTGCCTCTGCCTCCCAGTGCTGGGATTAAAGGCGTTTGCCACCATGCCCAGCTGGCCACTCTTTTTTAAAGATGTAAATCTTTATTTACTTTCCTTGCCTACTCATGAACTTGTCTTACAAAAATAAATAAATAATAAAACCCCTGAATCTAGTCAAATTTCTAGATATAAATGCCAGTTTGTAATGTTACAGTCAATCAAATCAGGATTGTGGGAGCCTGTAGTACCTAGAGGACAAAGGACTCAGTTTAGTCGGTAAATTACATGAGAAAAAGAGGAACCTACAAATTTAAAATGACTAAAGCATACCAGTCAATGTAAGGGATACTTGGCATGGTCCTGATGTCTAAAACCACACCCACCTCATGTACATTTGACACCTCTAAGACACTAGAAATCTGAACAAAGACTGAGTAACCTGTTGATTACTTGTAGGTTAGTTTACTTTTTTGTTTTTATTAGGGTAATGGCAATGTGATTTAATCTATACACATGCATATATATATTTAATCTTAAAAATATTTTATGTGTATGAGTGTATTTTCTGCATGTGTTTAAGTGCACTGGTGTTGTGCAGTACCCATGGAGGTCAGAAGAAGGTGTTGGATCCCCTGGAACTGGAGTTACAGATGATTGTTAGTCCCCATGTGGGTACGGGACTAGAACCAGGTTCTCTGTAAGAGCAATCTGTGCTCTTAACCACTAAACCATCTCTTCAGCCCCTGTATTTTAAACTTTTTTTAAAGACCAGGTCTCACTGTGTGCCCCTGACCTGGAACTTGCTCTATAGATCATACTGGCCTGGAACAGATAGAACTCTGCCTGCTTCTGCCTCCTGAGTTTGGGGACTAAAGGTATGTGCCACCATGCCCGGCCCTGATTATATATTTTTGTTGTTGTTGTTTGAAACAGGGTCTCCCTGTAGCCCCAGCTGGGCTGGAAATCAATGTGTAGACCAGGCTGGTCTCAAACTTCCAGAGCTCAAACTTGGATCATCAGGCTGAGTGGCAAACCCCTTTCCCCAGTGAGCAACCTCGCCAGCCTTCTAGTAAACTTTTAAAATTTGTTTGCAGCATCCATACTTTCTTATATGAGAAGGTATTTCATGCTGATGTTCTGTGTTCCCTTTCCTACACGTGGAGTGAACCATTTCCATAGGAAGCTTTGGCTCCTTTTAGAGGGAAATGATATTTGAGAACACATTCTGGATACCACTGATTCATGCTCAAACATTTGCGTAACTAACAAGGTCTAGGTTTTCTTGGATTTTTATTTCAGTCCTTATTTTATTTGAAGTATGAAACTGCTATTTCTTTAATTCCTGCAGTTTTTATTCAATCAAATGGAAATAAATTAGATATTCTTTTTTTGGTTTTTTTGAGACAGGGTCTCCCTGTGTAGCCCCAGCTGGCCTGGAACTCACTATGTAGACTAGACTGGCCTCAAACTCACAGAGATCCCCCTGCCTCTGCCTCCTGCGTGCTGGGATTAAAAGCGTGTGCCACCACTCCTGGCAGGTTATAATTTTTTTTTTAATATTTTTTATTTTATGTTGTATGCATGTAATTGCCTGCATGTAGATAAGTGCACCCATGTTACGCAATGCCCGCAGAGGACAGAAGAGATTGTTGGATCCCCTGGAATTGGAGTTATGGACAGTTGTTAGCTGCCATATGGGTGCTAGGATTCGAACCTGAGTCTTCTGTAAGAACAGTCAGTGTTCTTATCTGCTGAGCCATCTCTCCGGCCCCTCAGATATAATTTTTAAATGACTCAACAAATACATTTTTATTTATTTTTTATTTTGGGGGTTTTTGTTTGTTTTTTGAGACTGTATGTCTCCCCCTATAGCCCTAGCTGGTTTTGAGCTTACTATGTAGATCAGGCTATCTTCAAACTTGCAGCCATTCTCCCGCCTCTGCCTTTTGAGTACTGGGAACACAGGCATGAACCACTACACCAAGCTAACAAAGAATACTAACACAAAAAATTACCCCACTTTAAGAGTTGTGAAACAACTATCACACTTTCTTAATCTCTAAATTTTTAAATTATATTTATGTGTGTGTGTGTGTGTGAGTGTATGTGTGAGTGTGTGTGTGTGTGTGTGGGTCCCACTATGCTGTGTGGAATTAAAGGACAACCTGGGGGAGTAAGTTCTCTGCTTTCACCACCATGTGGGTTCCAAGGCTCAAACTCAGATCAACAGGCTTGGCAGTATCTTTAACCCACTGAGCCACCTCATTAGTTCATCAGACTTTTTTGTCTTTTTGAGTCAGGGTCTCCCTGTAGCCCCAGCTGGCTTAGAACTCGCTCTGTAGACCAGGCTGGCCTCAGACTCACAGAGATCTGCCTGTCTCTGCTTCCCAAGAGCTGGAATTAAAGGCATGTGTCACCATGCCCTGCTTCCCTCACTCGTTTTTTAATAAACTGTAAAGTATATGAAACAAAATGTTTTTCTCTTTTTTTAATATTTATTATTTTTATTTTATGTGAATGAGTGTATTACCTACATGTAGATAAGTGCACCCGTGTAATGCAATGCCCACAGAGGACAGAAGAGGCTGTCAGATCCCCTGGAACTGGAGTTATGGACAGTTGTTAGCTGCCATGTGGGTGCTGGGATTCAAATCGGGTCTTCTGCAAGAACAACCAGTGTTCTCAACCGCTGAGCCATCTCTCAAAAAAAAAAAAAAAAATGGTCATAAGATATTGTACTTACAATAAATTATTTTAAAGGCGCTTCTGATTATTAATTTTCTCTCGTATTGATTTAGCTTAAGGGTAGTGAAGTGGCTGTTTAAGGTTTTCATTCATTAGCAGGTTTTGCTACCTTTATAACAGTCCTGTAAAAACCAGTTTAATTAGTTAGAGAAGCATAGTCTCACTGCAAAGCACAGCAAGCATACAGAGTTAAATAGTATCCCCCCCCCCTTTTTTTTTTAAAGGACGGTCTAGGAAAAAGGCCCAATCCTCTCCCTGTGTCTGTGCCCTATTTGAGTCCTCTGGTGCTCCGGAAAGAACTTGAATCCTTGCTGGAAAACGAAGGCGATCAGGTGATTCATACATCATCTTTCATCAATCAACATCCAATCATTTTCTGGAACCTTGTTTGGTATTTCAGACGTTTGGACCTTCCTAGCAACTTGCCAGGACTTATACTTACATCTGAACATTGTAATGAAGGTGTACAGGTAAAGTACCAACTTCTATACTCACACTACATTGGTGTAGTTTGAATGAGATTAACTTTTAAACTGGTCAAAGTATGTAACAGTAGCTTTACAACATGGCAGGTAAAAGTTTGTGTGGTGGTCCAGGGATGGGGAACAGTGTTTGGGATCTGAGGTCCTTCTGTGTGTTTTTGCTTAGCTGTGCATGACCTCCATTTTTAAGGTCTTCTGTTCAGGATGACTGACTCTGTCTTCAAGCTATCACAGTCACATCTCAGGCAACAGTAAGGAGGAAAATTGATTGTCAGAAATGTGTCTTCTCTCTTATAGCTTATGGAATTCTGCACAGCGTTTCTACATGTGTCTGTGTGGCCTAGACTTAATTGTTTTGTCCTATCTAGTTGCACAGGTCACTACATAGGGAAGCTTTTGTTATATATAAACTCATATTCTCTCCTGAAGTTCACACAGCCACCTTATTTGAAAGGTCTTATCTAAATTTTTAAGGTACATAATTAAAAGTTAGAAAAGTTAAGTGATTTATATACGGTAAATACCTAGTACATAAGGGATAATTAAGACCGTTTCTAGCTGTTGGACTCCTGTAGTCCTTGCTCTGCTTGTACTGGCCCCAGACTCCTAGAAGCACTGAGCTGCCAGCATTCTTCTGTTTTACAGTGTTGGGTATTGGGAGACACCAGACCCAAACAGACCTGAGACAAAACACACCAAAAAGTATTTAAAATTCTAGTACAACTCATTTGTTTTGAGACAGGGTCTTACTATGTAACCCCAGCTGGCCTGGAACTCACTATGTAGACCAGGCTGACCTCAGTCTCAAAGAGATCTGCCTGCCTCTGCCTCCTACGTGCTGGGATTAAAGGCATGTGCCACAAATCCCAGTCTGATCTCCTTTATTTTAAGAAGTAATAAGTGGAAAAAAGTTACCTCGTAAAATAATAGAAACTCTTTTACTGTGTCTTACCTTAGAATTTGTTGTAACGATGTGGCCTTTGACTGTAAATCAGAATGAGAAATCTAAAAGCCAGAAAATAATAAGGCCGTTTATCATCAGACATTAATAAAAAGCAAAACTTTTGTTCAGAATTTTGGGTTTAGAGTTTAAAAAAAAAAAAATCTCACCTGTTTTATATGTAATCAGGTTCTGCTTGGTCCACTTGTAATTATTATATTTGGGAAATTTAATTTTTTAAAATTAATCTCTTTTAGCTTCCTCTATCATCTCTGTCCCAGGACAGCAAACTTGTGTATATTCAGCTCTTATGGGATAATATCAACCTTCATCAGGAACCAGGAGAACCTCTGTATGTCTCATGGAGGAACCTGAGTAAGTAAAATAGAATTTAAAAGACATACTAGGGCTGGAGAGATGGCTCAGCAGTTAAGAGCACTGGTTGCTCTTGCAGAGGACCTGTGTTTGGTTTCCAGCACCTGTGTGATGGCTAACTATCATTGGTAACCCCAGTTCCAGGGGAGCCAATGTCCTCTTCTGAACTTTGTGGATGTTGCAGGACATGAGTACACAGTACACTTACATACATGCAGGCAAAAAACTCATACATATAAAATAAATAAACATTATAAAAACATGGCAGAGCCAGGTGCAAGCCTTTAATCTCAATACTCAAGAGGCAGAGGCAGGCAGATCTCTGTGAGTTCAAAGCTAGCCTGGTCTATATGGCAAGTTCTAGGCTAGCCAGAGTTATATAGTGAGAACCTGTCTCAAAGAAAAAAAAAGGCACAACAGAGCTGGCAAGATGGTTCAGTGGGTAAAGGAGCGTGTCACCAAGCCTGACCCCAGAGTTCAATCCTCAGGACCCACATGGTGGAAGAAGAGAACTGACTGCAAGTTGTCCCCTGACCTGCACATGCACACCTTGGCATACCCATTCCCACATATGTATACACACATACAATAAATGAGTAAATATAATTTTTAAAGTAAAATATCTTTCTTTTTTTTAAATGTAGGCACTTATAGCTGAAGCTTCCTCTTAAAACTGCCTTTGCTCTGTCCCAAAGTTTCTATAACTTGTGTTTTTTTTCTCATTGACCCATTCATTTATCATTCAAAAGTGTATTGTTTGATCTCAGTGCATTTATATAGTTTCTCTTGTTGTTGATACCTAGTTTTAATCCATTGTGGTCTGGTAAGATACTAGAAATTTTTTTTAAATTGATTTTTAATTTTTGCATTTGTTGACTGCCATAAGGATTAAAATCAGATCAACTCTGGTAAAAGTTCCATGGGCTGCCAATAGAATGTATTCATAGCTGTTGGAGGGAATACTCTATAAGTATCTGTCAGTCCATCTCATATGTGGTACATACGGTGCTATATAACTATTAAGTGTCCTCATTGATTGTTTTTTTGGTCTGGATCATCTATCTGTTGAAGAGAGTGAGGTATTGAAGTCTCCCGTTTATTCTGTGGACCTACCTGCCCTTTGTTTCCAGAAGTATCTGTTTTATGAAATTGGGTGTACCAATGCTTGCTGCATAGAGTCACAGCAGTCAAACCTTGATGGACTGAAGAAGTGAAGCTTACCTTTATTAATATGCAGTGATATTCTTGTTTTGGATGGGAATTGCTTGTTTTTTCTCCCCAGGGTGGCTGCCAACTCCCTATGTAGCCAAGGGTCTTGAGCTTCTGATCTTCCTGCCTCTACCTTCTAAGTGCATGGCTTTGTATTGGCCTTCTTGATTTCTTCTAATTTTGGCTAAATTTAAGTCTGCTTTCTCAGATATGCATGTAGCTGCTCCACTTGTTTCTCTTCCACTTGCTTGGTATATTGGGTTCTTTTTTTTCACTTTCAGTCTTACATTTCTTTGCCAGTGGTGTGTAGCTGGCTTTTGTTTTTTAAAATTCAGTCAGCTAGTCTAGGTCTTCTAATTGCAGAGTTTAGGCCATTTATATTTAAGTTTATATTATTGAAAAGGATTTTCTGATTCATGTAATTTTAAGTGTGTGTGTGTGTGTGTGTGTGTGTTTGTGTGTACAGGTCCATGAGTGTGTGATGTACATGTGCCATGGCATGAGTGTTAAGGTTAAAAAACAACTCTGTAGAGTCAGTTTTCTCCTGCCTTGCACTGAGCTCAGGTCACCAGGCAAACTTCTTTACCCACTCACCATCTCACCAGCCCCAATTCCTGTAGTTTTATTGGTTGTTTCCCTGGCTGTTTCAAATGTTATTTTTTTCTCTGCCTTTCAATTAGTATTTATTGAGTTGGACATGGCTGATTCTTTCCTAGTTCTCCTTTACCTCGTCTCATGAAATGTATTGTTTTCTATTCTGATGATTGTCTTCTGCCATAGTGCCTTGGTGCTCATGAGTTAATAGTTTGTACTTGCCCCAGAAAGTCTTCATTTTCCCATAGATTTTAAAAGATAAAAAGATGTCCAGTTTTTTGCTTTTAGGGCTTGAAATACATCGTTCCATGTGTCCTTGGCTTTTAGATTTTCTGCTGAGAGTTTGTTTGTTTTGGTTTTTTGAGACAGGGTCTCCCCGTAACTCCAGCTGGCCTGGACCTCGATATGTAGACCAGGCTGACCTCAATCTCAGAAATTCACCTGCCTCTGCCTCCTGAGTGCTGGGATTTAAAGACAGCACCACACCCAGCTGGAGTTATTTGATATTGTAAATGAGATAGTGATTTTTTTTTTCTTGGAGATTTTTTTGTTTGTTTTGTAGTCTTGGCATTTTGAGTATAATATGTCATGGAGGATTCTTTTTTCCGGTTATGTTTCTTTGAGGTTCTAAATGCCTCTTGTGCTTGGATGTCTATTTTCCTACATTTGAGAAAGTTTTGTTATAATTTCAGTGATAGTTTATATCTCAGCTCTTCTATATTCTGAGACAGGGTCTTATTATGTAACCCTTGCTGGCCTTTGAACTGACTTTGTGAACCAGGTTGGCCTTGAACTTGCAGCAATTTTCCTGCCTTAGCCTTTCAAACTATTGGGATTTCACGTGCATCATCATGCTCAGCTGTATCTCATCTCTTTCTACTTTGTGGATTCTTGGGTTTGGGGTCTTGATCACATCCCAGAATTCTTGAAAGTTATGATTAATGCATGTTTTTTTTAAATTTAAATTTAATTCATTAATATGTATGTGTGTAGGATATATGTGTGAATGCAAGTGTGCACATGCCACACATGTATGTAGAGGTCAAAAGAGATTAAAGATCCGATCCGGGCTAGAGAGATGGCTCAGCAGTTAAGATCAATGGCTGCTCTTGAAGAGAACCCAGGTTTGATTCCCAGCACCCACTTGGTGGCTAAGTGACACCTGTAACATTCCAAGGAATCCAACTCCCTCTTCTGACTGCCACTGGCAATGCATGACACAGGTGCACTAACATGCATGTAGGCAATACACTCATACACAAAAAATAATACATAAAATATATTTTAAAAAATTAAGACTGAAGCTGGGCGTGGTGGTGCACACCTTTAATCTCAGCACATGGGAGGCAGAGGCAGGTGAATCTCTGTGAGTTCAAGGCCAGCCTGGTCTACATAGTGAGTTCCAGGACAGCTGGGGCTACAGAGAGACTCTGTCTCAAAAAGACTAAAAAAAACCCCAAAACCACCCCGTGTAATTTGAAGAAAAGAGACCAGGCCTAGTCAGCCTATTTAAAGAGAGCAGGAAAGGGCTAGAGAGGTGGTTCAGGGGTTAAAGAGCACTGGCTGCTCTTGCAGAGGACCTGGGTTTGGTTCTCAGCACCCCATGGTGGCTCACAACCATCTGTAACTCCAGTTTCAGGAATCCAGTGCCTTCTTCAGGCATCTCAAGGCACCAGGCACAGATGTAGTACACTTAAGTAAATGCAGGCAAAAAACTCATACACATAAAAATAAAAATAAACAGGTGATGGAGAGATGGCTCAGCAGTTAAGAGCACTGGCTTTTCTTCTAGAAGACCTGGGTTTGGTTCCCAACACCCACATGGTGGCTAAACAACTGTTGGTAATTCCAGTTCCAAAGGATCCGACACCCTCTTCTGACCTCCTCAGGCATTGCAGGACATGGGTGTGCTTACACAGAAGCAGGCAGTACACTCAGACACATAAAATAAAAACAATAACTAAAATAAAAAACAAATCTTTTTAAAAGAGGGAGAACAGGAAGTAATTTTTAGCTGGTACCTTGTCACATAATTTTACTGGCAAGTGGGAAACTATGTTGAATAGACAACCAGAAAGTGACACAGATCTGGGAAAAACTTTGTTAATAATTGGGGAAGACGTCCTCTTACTGTGCTCTTATCATTAGATTCTGAGAAGAAATTGTCCCTTCTGTCAGAGGAGCAACAAGCAGTGAGCACTTTAGTTGAAAGCATTAGGCAGAGTATCCAGCATAATGATGTTCTGAAGCCCATCAACCTGCTTTCCCAGCAAATGAAGCCGGACATGAAAAGACAAAGGTAATAAGCTCGGCATTTCATACTTGGTGTCACTCAGTTTCACATTTTATAGTGGGATTATTTTTAATACCTGTAGTTGTAAAAGACATATGCGTTGTCAAACATTTGTTTTAGTAAGTGCTATTCAGATTTATGTATTCTTACATTACACAAGTCTTTCAGGTAGAAGAAATTTTAGAAAGGTAAGTCATTGGTGATAAATGTGTACGTGTATTTTAGAAACATTTCTCTGGAAATTTATGAATTTCCAAACATTGAGGTTAGTACCGCTTATTTGTTCCAGTCCCGTGATGACCATATATTGCTTTCTTGTTGGATGTAAAGTACAGGATTTGAAGTCGAATCAGTGTAGGCCATGATGGAAGCAGGGAAAGTGCTCAGGATATAAAACTCCTGGTCCCTTCCTAACATCTGCCAGCATGTTTGTGTGGCTATTCATTCCTCTCTTGGCCAAGTGGATCTACAGTGGGGCTACAGAAAAGGGCCTATAGTTACATCAAGCATTATGAATGCCCCTGGAATCCCCTTAAAGTCTTCTGTCATGGACTCTTTGTATATCTCAGACGTGATACTGCAGGAATTCATACTGAAAATTGATGGCCTAATTAGAATCTTAATTGTTGCAATTGAGATGACCTTTAAAGGTAGGCAAGCATAGTACCACAGAGTCACATCCCTAGTCCTCATCTTTATTTTTAGCTTAGTTGTGAAGCTTTTTTTTAATTCTTGAAGCAGGCTCTCATGTTGCCTAGGCCATCCTAGAACTTAACAGTCATGCCTTCATTTACCAAATGTTGGAATTACAGACATGCACCACCAGGCCTAACTCGTTTTTAGTGTTTTATTTTGTAACCTTTTTTTTGGGAAGGCAGGGTCTTTTTATGTAGCCCTGGCTGACCTGGAACTCTCTGTGTACAACAGACCAGCTTCAAACTCAGAGATCTGCCTGCCTCTGCCTCCCAAGTGCTAGGATTAAATATGTGCATGTACCAGCCATTTCGTAACATTTTTATGTTCACAAACCTAAAGTTGATTTATCCTTTACCATTTGATTAAATAAAAAATACATCATACTACTTTTTACATTATAGCCAAAGGGTTTAGACCCTTAGATCAGAAATTAATGTTACTGCAGAAAAATAGATAGGAAAGGAATTGAATTAATTTTACCATTTGAGTGTGCACTACCATGCCTAGCTTTGTTTTTTTGTGCCATTAACTTTTTAAAATTTTTTGGTCTTTTTTGAGACAGGGTCTCCCTGTAACTCCAGCTGGCCTGGAACTCACTACGGAGACCTCAAACTCACAGGCCTGTCTCTGCCTCCCAAGTGCTGGAATTAAAGGTGTGTGCCACCACACCCGGCTTCTGCCATTAATTTTTTAAAAGCTTTTTACGCTTTGAATTAGAAGCTCCTGAATGTTGTAAGATAGAACCCAGTTCTGTGTACCCTTCAACCAGCTTCCTCTGAAGAACCCTCGTACACCTGCGGTATAATATAAAAACCAGGATGTAGATGCATAGCTGTTAATCAATCTATAGAATTTAATGTTTTCAATTTTTTTAATCTGCAACTGCCAGATGTGGTGGCTTATATCTGTAACCCCAGCACTTAGCAGACTGAAGCAGGAAGATGGCCAAAAGTTTGAGGTCAGCCTTGGCAACATAGTGAGTTCTAGGCCACCCTAGGCTACAATGGAACTCTCTAACAAAGAAATCCCAAAATTCAAACTTGTGTCTGTTGTTTTGTTTGCTATTTGCCCGCTAATTTTCAGAATCTCTTTCTTTTTTTTAATAGGAGTTTATACAGAGAAATCCTTTTCTTATCATTAGTGTCTCTTGGAAGAGAAAACATTGATATTGGTAAGTTGAATAATGAAGAATTATTAAAATTAGTTCTGATTTCCTCTGTTGAAAAAAAATTTTTTAATGGAGCATGTAGAATGGGAGCGTAACCTAGTTAGTGCTGGCATACATGTCTGGCATACATAAGGACCTGGGTTTATTCATCAGCACTAAAAAAAAAAAAAAAAAGGAAGAAGAAAATGTAGGTGGTATGGCGCATGCCTTTAATCCCAGCACTTGGGAAACAGGCAGGTGAATCTCTGTGAGCTTGGTCTACATAGCGAGTTCCAGGCCAGCTGTGGTTACAGTGAGACCCTGTCTCAAAAAGACAAAAAAAAAGATTGAAATGTGATCAGCTTCTTGCTCTGCCAGCATGCCATGCTTTCCCCACCGTTATACCTGCAGCTGGACATGGGGACGCATGCCTAGAATCATAGCACTTGGATGCTAAGACTGGAGGATCACAAGTGGGAGGAGGGCATGATAGCCTGTGTACATACATAGTGGGGCCCTGTCTTAAAATGAGGGCTGAGGTAGCTTAGTGGTTAAGGGTACTTGTTGTTACTCTTGCAAAGGACCTTGGTTTAGTTCCCAGCATGTACATGGCAGCTGACAACTGCCTGTAATTCCAGTTCCAGCAGATTTGACACCCTTTTCTGGCCTCTGGGGACACCAGCATACCTGTAGTGCACATACATTCAAGAATATACATACATGGGGCTGGAGAGATGGCTCAGCAGTTGAGAACACTGGCTGTTCTTGTAGAGGACCCAGGTTCAAATCCCAGAACCCACATGGCAGCTAACAACTGTCTGTAACTCCAGTTCCAGGGGATCCGACAGCCTCTTTTGTCTTCTGTGGGCATTGCACGACACGGGTGCACTTACCTACATGCAGGCAATAACACACATAAAATAAAAATAATATTTTTAAAAAAGAATATACATACACATATAAAAATAAGTATATCTTTTTTAAAGGGGGGGGGGCAGTCCCCAGAACCCACATGGTAGATGGAGAGAACTGATGCCCTCAAATTATCATTTGACCTCCATACATATACACCATGGCATGCGCCACCTCCCCCCCCCAAAAAAAATATACAGTTTAGCCAGGTGTGGTGGCACATGCCTTTAATCCTAGCAGTAGGGAGGCAGAGGAAGGCAGATCTCTTATGAGTTCAAGGCCAGCTGGGGCTATAGGGAGACCCTGTCTCAAAAAAAGACCCCCCCCCCAAAAAATGCAATTTAAAGATGCTAAATAATTACTTTTGAGTAGGCAATTTGAATCTATGTCACATGACTCAGTATTTTTTTTTAATACTTTTGTTAACAAATTACAGCTGCAGTTTTTAAAATGTCTTTCAGAGGCTTTTGACAATGAATATGGGCTTGCATACAAAAATTTATCTTCAGAGATTCTTGAAAAGTTACAGAAAATTGATGCCCCACCAAGTACGAGCATGGAGTGGTGCAGGAGGTGTTTTGGAGCCCCTCTCATTTAAAAAGACTCATTGGAACTTTGGTACTGAGAACTAGGGGAGTAGGTTCCGCCTGGAAACACTCAAGGCTTTTCCCAATCTTAAGACCTGGTGAAAGCTGCAGTGAAGAAACTCTTGATAAAATACAATGAATTGTCATTCATACTGAATCATCTCAAAATGTCAGCTGCCATTAAACATCATGAGGTTTATTGATGTTTGAAGATTTTTAGCTCCTGCCCTATTTCTCTGCCTCCACTAAAAAGAAAAAATTGAATTTCACATTATTTACATAAAAGAAATAATGAAACTGTCATCATTATAGACGTTAGTATTTGGAGTTGTTGGGTTTGGGGGATGGCAAACTAAACCTGCCTAACCTCAAAACAAACGAAATACTTCAATTATAAGAGTAACTGTGTATGATTGTATATGTGTGGGGCTATGTAATAGATATGTGTGTGTATTTATTAAAATACTTCAATTGCATGTTGCAGTAGTTTCCTGAATGAGGCCTTGCTGCCTAGTAAATGACTACTACTAAACTCATTTGTAGTCATTAATTCCAAAATCATCTGAAAGTCACAACTGCCTTCCCTGATTTAAAATTTAATATATATCTCCACCTTTTAAATTATGCATTATCTTGCTTAAAGGATTGTGTCTTGAATATCCAGGTACTTCTGTCTTCCCCCAATGTTAATTTGTAGTGTTTAATCAGAATCTAATAGGTGAAATGAAATTTCCTAACTTACAAAATTATTTGGAACTTACAAATGTGTGTAGTCTTTGTAAAAATATGTTTGGGCACATAAATTGTTGGTATTGGTTATTTTTTAAAACCTATGGGAGCTGGGCCTGGTGACTCGGGTTTGTAAAAATCCGTTTCTTGGAAGGCAGATCTCAAGTTCAAGGCCAAGCCTGAACTTTTGAGATCCTGTCTCAAACCATTACAGCCCAATGGATGAGCACTTGTGTAGCATGCATGAGGCCCTGGGTTCAGTTCCCAGTACCACAAAAAATAGAACCTGTGGGATAAACTCGCACTGCACATAAAAGTTTTATTCTTGTACAGTATTTTGATTTGTATGCTTGTGAATAAAAGTGTGCATTTGTAAATACTATTGTTTAGGTTGAATCAATTGTCTTAAAACCTTAAAGTTTATTGAGCTTATTACCAATAAGAAATGTTTAAGAAAATCATGACTTCACATGCCCCACCTTGACATTTATTGTGCTTTGTTAAAAACATCAAGAGCAGCAAATTTGCCTTAGCTCCTGCATAAAGCCAGTTGGTTACGTGTGTGCTCTTACGGTAATAATGCAGCTGACTAAACCAGTTAACGTGTAAAAACTTACCTCCATTTGGTATACTTTAATAGCACATACATCTTTTTTACATGGTGGTACCTTTTTAAAACTATGTACCAGCGTTTCAACATTTAAAGGTTAATCTGACCTTTTTGCAGAACCCTAGTCTGAATTTGTGTTAAGTGAAAAACAGTTATCAGAAATTTTGTTAAGATCTTCATTACTTTCAAAGTGGATCTTTTGCAGTTTCAAGTATATATTTTTACAACATATATTTTATTGACCCAAAAAATTTTCAAATTATCTTTGCATATATGAATTAAAATTGAATAAAATGAAAAATAATCGTTTCTTGCGTCTGTTACATTTTTAAGGTTGTTGCACTCTAGGATTGACTGTTAAAAGACTTCCATTATTCTGTGATTTCTGGAACTTGGAAGTTACTTACCAAGGTACTTTGTTTACAAAACTTATATGCCTCAATACAACTTTTTAAAATCAGTTTTCTGCTACCATTTAGATCCATCGGAACTGATTTTTAAAAATATTTTATTACTTTTATGTATGTGTATAGACTGCATGTAAATGCATCCATGTCCCGCAGTGCCCAGAGGTTAAAAGGTGTCGGATCCCCTGGAACTGGAGTTACATAGTTGATAACCACTGTTGGGTGCTGGGACTTGAACCCGGGTCCTCTGAAAAGAGCAACCAGTGCTCTTAACTGCCAAACCATCTCTCTTCCAGCCCCAGGAACTTTTTTCTTATATTCGGGTTTTTTGTTGTTTTGTTTCTGAGACCGTGTCTCCCTGAAGCCTCAGCTGGCCTGGAACTTGGCTATGTAGACCAGGCTGTCCACAGTCTTAACAGATACACCCACCTCTGCTGAGGTTGAAGGCATATGCTAGACTGCACAAGCCTTTAGTCCCAGCACAGGGGAGGCAGAGGCAGGTGGATCCCTGTGAAATTGAGGCCAGTCTGGTCTACAGGGAGACTCTGTCTCAGAAAGACAAAAAAAAAAAAAAGATACCTGGCCTCTTGTTCCAGCTGGACTGGCACTCACCACATAGACGAGATTGGCCCTGAACTCAAGAGATTCACCTGCCTCTTCCTCTGGAGCATTGGGATTAAAGGCATGCGCCACCATGCCCAGCTGGTCTATTTTTTGAGACCATCTAAGCATATGCCTTTAATCTAGCCGAGGCAGGTGTTATTTTAATGTATGAACATTTAAAAATGTGCAGCTAGTGCTAGATGAACTTTATTAATAGCTTCTGAAAACAATCTTCAAAATAGTTGCAGGGTAATCCTAGTGGTTTTGATTTTGTATGCTGATCCTAGCAACTTCACACAACCTCTCAAGTTTGAGACAGTCTTCTGGATTAACCTTGATTTAGCCTGCTGAATGCTAGGATTACAGGCCCATTTTTTTGGTCTTTTTGAGACAGGATCTCCTTGTAGCCTCTGGTGGCCTTGAACTCAGAGACCTGCCTGCCTCTGCCTCCCAAGTGCTGGGATTAAAGGCATGCAGCTGTTTCTTTTAGCCAGGCTCTCCCTATTATAGCACTAGCTTACCTGGAACTTGTTATGTAGACTAAGCTGGCCTCAAACTCAGATCTGTAGCTTCTACCTCTAGGGAAAATGAAGTTGTATTAAAGTTAACTGCACCTAACCTGCCTTAAGATGCTTACACAATGGTAACAGACCTATGACACCAGCAGGCTAAAGCAGGTTTTTCACTAAGGTCAGCCTGGGCTACAGACAAGGACCATCTCCAAAACAAGAATGAAATCAGGTTATAACCACTGCAGAAATTATGGTCTATTACAGGAGGGGGTGGTGGTGATGGTGACACATTTTGCAATCACAGGTGTTTCATAACAAACCAAGGGACTTTAACACTAGACCACTGAGCCAGAGCCCTTGTTTTAAAAGCTCTGTGAACATTTAAAAGATTTGACACTAAGTATGTCTTTAGCCTGAGCACACCTTTTCTCTGCGTTGTACATAGGCCTTGAAAAGCTGTACTTCCTGAAATAAACTGTACATGAATTCCCATTTTTAAGACCCATTTCCTTTCAACTTACCCAGTTACTTCATTAATGAAAAGCCAACAAAGGAGATTCAAGGTTTGATCATATTTATTCGTTACTTTTAAAGATTATTTTTGACTAGACTCAGACTTGGAAGTAGAAGCTCTCAGTGATGACAGCCTGCGTCTCTTGGCAATCTGTTCCTGGCGTTTCTCTTTGGCTTCCTAAACAAAACACAACAAAAGCAGTTAGGGCTTTGTGTAGGTGAGAAATGGAGACGTGGAGGCAGGCAGTTGCGCACCCCAGCCCCACCTTCATTCTCTTGGCCAGCAGTTTAGCATATTCCGCAGCCTCCTCCTTGTTCTTCTTGGTGCGCTGTTTCTTCAGCGCAATGCGTCGGCGTTTGTGCTGCAGGACCCGCGGCGTAACCAGACGCTGAATCTTCGGTGCTTTAGTCCTAGGCTTCTTACCTAAAATCCAGATGAGGCATCATCTCAATACCCTTGTCCCATGGGGTGGTACCTGCCCAACACGCACATGGCTCTAAAATAACCAGCATACACATACACTCAGGGGAAAGTAAGGATCCACCAGCTATCAAAACAATGCTCAGTGCAGTAGCATCTATGAAAACCTATGAAAATAAAATTGGAGCCTACGATTTTGGATACTTATTAACCCCTCAACAAGAATATAAAAGGTGGTTTAAACAATGGCGAATCTGAATTCCTCCTGAAAAGTTTACACCAGTGTCCTGTTCACGCGCTTTTAGGAGTACTGGTGTGTGGTTGAGTGGTGTTACATCCTCTATCACAGTAATTTTTTCAAGTTCCCCCCTATGCTTGAATCTTTTCTTCCTGGCATGCACTGCCCTTTCAGATTCATACTTGAAAGTTGTTTATGGACTACAGGTCTTTGGGAGCAAAGCTGATGTAACTTCAGGTTATGGATGCTGCACAGGAGTTACTACCTCAGGTGCTGTATATATCCAGGTTCTGCTATTAACAGTTCAGCTAAACCCCCCACCCCTACCATGAGACAAGGACCATCTTTCAAACACTTGTCAACCACCTCACACATTTCCTGCACTGTTGCATATCTAATTTTCTTGCTTAAGGTTAAGAACTTATTTGAACCACATGCTCAGCATCAAAATAGTGCATGATACATGGTAGATGTCCAAATATTTGGAATACGTGACTAGTGAGAGGCGAGAAGGTACATATATACAGGTCAACAGTCCTAAGAATCAAAACCCAAAACTATCTTTTCTATGTAATGTAGACTTCATGCTTCCTTACAGAAAGCGTAACATGTTATTGATGCTATGGACACCACCAATGTGGGTATGTTGCTTAACTAATACATCTGCTTCTTCATACATAATAAAGCATTTTTCCTTCTCGTTTTCACAACTTTTACGATTCATACCCCACAGATGACTACCAGCCATTCATGGAAGCAATTTCAGTAGATGTAAAGTTTCTTTTGTAATTCAAAAAACAGCTATAATTTGAATCTGGTATACCTGGGACCTGTATGATGGACAAGAACTGACTCCTGCATTTTGTCTCAACCTACACACACACAGTAAATGCTTAGAAAAAGAAATTTCAGGCTGGAGAGATGGCTCAGCAGTAAGGAGCACTGGCTGCTCTTGCAGAGGACCTCCAATCCATGTCACTCTTAAACCCGAAGCAATTAACTTTAAATGTCTAGTTAAATCTCAACTCCAGGTAAATAATGCTAATGATGCTATGGTAGATTCTATTTTCTGTATGTACACAGAATGCCACAAATAATTAAAATTACTCTAGCCCTAAAATCCATAATCCCTCTTACCTTCTTTGTTCAAGGGCTTTCTAACAACATATTGGCGGACATCATCTTCTTTAGAGAGATTGAAAAGTTTGCGAATTCTGCTAGCTCTTTTGGGCCCCAACCGCCGTGGTACAGTGGTATCAGTTAGTCCAGGAATATCCTTCTCTCCTTAGGAGAAACAATTGGACAAAGATATTAAAATTTCACCACCTTCATAATTTAATGTTGAGTCGATTCTAACTGGCAGTAAAGAAATTCAATGTGGACAATCCCCAATTAAAAACCACTTAAAGCCACACACATCTTTAATCTTGGGAGGCAGCTGGATTCTCTCTGAGATGGTACCAGGTTCACACTGGGAGACTGTCCTTTAAAAAAAAAAAAAAAAAAAAAGGCCATGGTGCAAGCCTTTAGTCCCAGAACTAAAGGGGAAGCAGAGGCAGGTAGGTGGATTTCTGGGAGTTCCAGGCCAGCTGGGGCTACAGGGAGACCCTGTCTCAAAGGAAAAAGACAGGGTGGCGGGATGGCTCAGCACACTGCTCTTGCAGAGGACCTGGGTTGATTCCCAACACCCACATCGTGGCTAACAACTCTCCATTAACTCCAGTTCCAAGGGAATCCAACGCCCTCTTCTGATCTCCACAGGCACTGCAAGACACGTACACATGTGCTTACAAACAAGTCTCACCTTTTTTTACAATGACCAAGTTGAGAACACTCAGATTGGCATCCACAATGCATCCCCGAACAGACTTGCGCTTTCTCTCTCCGGTCCGCCTCGGTCTATAACAAGAATGCCCCTTACTCAGCAGCAGGCGCACCCTGCCATGGGTCAAGACACCCTGCTTCATGGGAAAGCCTTGCTTGTCGTTTCCACCACTGATTCGGACCACGTAACCCTGCATGAACATGAACAGTACATTTACTACTTTTGTTCCAAAATACAGAATTTTGACGTCTATGAACCACTTCTCTTCTACCAGAGAACCGAGAATCACTTTCAAACTCATGTTTTCTGTCCATTTCCAACTTACTAATAAGTTGTTAGGAAATTCGTATCCATTTCATCAGGACACTTGAGAGGCCAGAAATGTCTAGAAAACCAAATTACCAACAAGCAACGAATGAAGCAACGTGGCATTTTTTTTCCAGCTTCATCAGGCTTTACTTCATAAAGTGACACTCTCAAGTACCTTAACCAAGGCAGAGTTGAGGCTGCATTCAACACCACAGCACGTCCACTCACTGAAAAGGCTAAAGTAATGGCTGCTTCGGTGGTCAGCTTTACCTTCCACTCCTCACCCAGGGCATCAGCAGCCACTTCTGTGGCCATGCGCTTCTCGTAGAAAGTACGGAGCTTGCGTTCATCGTCCACTTCGATGAGTTTCTGACAGCCGGTGGCCGGGAAGGAGATATTGAGCTAGGATTTAAGAGGCGAGAGGGGAAAAAACTTAGAAATCCACGGCGGCGATGGTAGCGCCGAGCACAACGATAATTCACAGAACCATTTTGTTTCGCACGACCAGCAGAAAATTCTAGACGCTAACTTTCACCGCCTGCAGGCAGCAGTGCGGACGACACACATTCTCCTTCGAGCCCTAAGGGCCAGGGCGCCTGCAAGCCGCTCAGTCCCGAGGCGCAGAGCTAGGCGGCCTCGGACCCGCGTGTGCACCGCAGCCGCCATGGCTTCCCGCCCGTCGCGGCACCGCCGCAATCGCCCGCCATCCGCTCGCCCAAGGCACCCCAAAGCCCACGGGAACGAGCTTCCTCGTGCCTCAGGCCCTTCGCCACCTAGATCCGGGGTGGTGGGGCCCGGAGCCGCGGCAACGCTGCGCGCTGCGGCTCGATGCTAGCCTGCGCCTCATCAGCCACCACCTCCTACCTTCATCTTGGCGCAGCCTACCACCCAGTAGGCACCACGGAAAAGAGGCCCGACTTCCGCTTAACCCAGGTCACATAGCGCTCTCAGGTCTCGCGAGAAGTACAGGCACTAGACCCGCCGGAAGTGATTCCGGAGGGCGGTATTTCGGGGCTGGGGTTAGTGAAATGAGCCCTAAGGTGGTTCGGAGCCTCGCTGGGCATTTTGGGGAGGGGCCCAGTCTGCGGGAGGGTCGGCGGCTTCCTGCTGGTCTTCCCAGGTGGCCGCGGCGATGCGCCTGCGCCACAGAGGAGCCGCACCTCGGGCCCCCATACTCGCGTCTGGTGGTACCGAGTAGGAAGACGTGACCAGTTGTAGCCAGTGCTGGCCTGTCATTTCCGGAAATGGCCGGTTGCGGAGCTTGCCTGGTCCCAGCGATCGACTGCGAGAAATCCCAAACGCTGTGCTTTCCTTTTTCCCTTAGTACCGGTTCATCGGCTTGTCCTTTAGCTGCTTTGCCGGTTTTGTCTTATCACTGAGTGACACTCGAGGTCACGTCTCGGCAGCCAGTAGGAGCGCTACCGCCGTGCAGAACCATCAGCTGCCTGCAAAAGTCTTCCTGCTTTTTCTCCTCCGTGATCTGGTGTGTGTGTGTGGAGGAATACAGTGTGTCACCTTTTGCGTGTGGCGCTAACGTTTTTGAGATGCATACATGTATCATATGTCAATATTGCATTATTCGTATGATTAATTGTTCATATATATGTATGTGTATAGTAATTTATTCATCCACTGAAACACCCATTTGGGCTGTTTTCCCCGCAGTGCTGTCATTCGAACCCAAGGCTTCCCACATGCCTAAAGCAAGGGAACTACGTCCCTTTCTATTTCTACCTTTTGACTTTTGGGACTAGTGTGGCTTTGAGTGCCTGTTTTTAATACTTTGGGGTTGTATCCAAAAACTCATAGAGGAACGCCGCACAGTGATGGCTGCGTTAAAAGTCAAGAGCAGGCTCATGCCAGAAAGAACTCAACCCTGAGGAGTGACAGGGTAGGGTTTATAAGTTTCAGTTAGAGAATTTTCTCAAAAATAAATTTCCCAGTAAACTCCCTGGACCTGCAGGTTCAGCTGGATAAGAACGTTCTGCCCCACAGGTTGTGGTTAGTGAGGGCCAGGGAATGGCTGGATGAAGCAAAAATAGCTCATCAGCCAGAACAAAATGGAATTCCTTTAGACAGTTCAGGGTACACACGTAGGAGTGGAAATGTTGAACCATATAGTAATTTAACGTTTGAAGGAGCCACAGAATGGCATTCCATAGCACTCGGCCTCTCCATGTCTACCAGGTGTGCAGGATTCTGTTTATTCTTGTTGATTTTATTTATTTATTATTTTATTTATTTTGCGAGGTGGTGGTGGTGTGGATGCCGCAGTATGAGTGTGGAGGTCAGAGGACAACTTGCAGCAGTTAGTTTTCTCCTACTAGGTGGGTTTTCTAAGGCTCAGACTCGGGCTTGATAGTAAACCTGCTGAGCCAGGACGTTTCCAGGGTCTTTAGTTTGTATGAGCACAGGAAGTATTATTAACTGTTAATCCAGTCTTGTGGTTGTGATTTGGAACCTCACGTGGTTTTAATTTACATTTCCCTAAGGACTAATGTTGAACTTTTTTCTCCTGTGCTGAGGGTTGATCCCAGACCCTTTGTACTTGCCTAGTGAGTGCTCTACCTTGGGCTAAATCCCCATCCAACCCCTTGAGCATTGTAGTACTTGGGGCTCTGCAAGCCCAGAGCCTCATGCAAGCAAACCATGCACTCTACCAACTGATTTATATCCCAAGTGAGTATTTTACAAAAGCATTTCTTAGCCATTTGTGTATCTTGAGAAATGTCTACTCAAGCCTGGAGCTCTTCTCCCCTCATTTTTGAACAATATTTATTTTTTGAAGTGGTGGTAGTGGATTTTATGTGAGGAAAAGAACAAAGTCTAGAACTGTGCATCACTATTCATTTATTATTTATTTATTTGTTTATTTATTTATTTATTTATTTATTATTTATTTTAGACAGGGTCTCACTGTGTAGCCCCAGCTGACCTGACCTCACAGAGATCTGCCTGCCTCTGCCTCCTGAGTGCTGGGATTAAAGGTGTGTACCACTATGCCCCGCCACTCTTTCAAATTTTATAAGTCTGTGTGAGAGAGAGTGTGAGGGGGACGTGCTTGTGTAAAGGTTAGAGGACATCTTTGGAGAAGATGCCTTTTTTCCACAATGGGAAGTTCTGGGAACTGAACTCAGATCATCAGGCTTGCCTGCCTGCCTCTGCCTCCTGAGTGCTGGGATTAAAGGTGTGTACCACTATGCCCCGCCACTCTTTCAAATTTTATAAGTCTGTGTGAGAGAGAGTGTGAGGGGGACGTGCTTGTGTAAAGGTTAGAGGACATCTTTGGAGAAGATGCCTTTTTTCCACAATGGGAAGTTCTGGGAACTGAACTCAGATCATCAGGCTTGCACAAGTGCTTTTACTTTGCTGAGCCATCTCACTGGCCCACATCACTTTTTCTTTCCCCTTTTAAAACTTTACAATTTGGGGGTTGTTTTTTGACTTTGGGGGGGCATTTGAGATGGGGTCTCCCTGTAGTCCTGGTTGGCCTGAAACTCTATGATCTATCTGCCTCTGCCTCCAGAGTGCTAGGATCAAAGGTATGTTAAATTATAAAAATATATGATATAAAATTTAGCATTTTAACCATTTTAAAGTATATACTTCAGGAAGAAAATGTACTCACATTGTTGTGAAACAGATCTCTAGATCATTTTCATCTTGCAAAGGGTGAATTCCATACTTCTTAAATATCTGTGTGGGTGGGGTGGGATGGGTATGTGCCCTTAGAGGCAAGAAGCTTCAGATCCCCTGGAGTTGGAGTTACCAGAAGTTTTGAGCTTCCCAGTATGGGTGCTGGGAACTGAACTTAGGTCCTCTGTAAAAGTAGCAACTGAACCATCTCACCAGGCCACCTGAATTTCATACTTAGACTAACACTTACTCTTTCCTTATTCTCCTTTGTAACTTTTTGTCTCTAAAATTTTGATTAAATATGTCGTGTAGGTGCATAAATGGTAGTTGTCTTTGTGTGTGTGTGTGTGTGTGTGTGTGTGTGTGTGTGTGTGTATTGCCTGCATGTAAGTGCACCTGTGCCATGCAGTGTCCTTGGAGATCAGAAGGTGGCGTTGGATCCCCTTGAATTGGAGTTACAAGCCTCCATGTGGATGCTGGGAATTGAACCTGGGTCCTCTGTAAGAGCAGTCAGTGAGATGACAGTCAGCCATCTCTCCAGCCCTGGTAGTTGTCTTTTTATCCACTTAATGTGGTCTTCAAGGTTTATCCATATCCTAGCATGTGACAAGATTTTATTCCTTTTTAAGGCTAAATAATATTCTGTTGTGTACATATCACTCTTTTGAGTATCAGTTTATTTTTGGTGGACATTTGAGTTGCTTCCATCTCTTGTGAATATTGTACACAATGCTGCTATCAACATAGATGTGCAAATATTGAGACTGTACTTTTAGTTCTTTTGAATATATGAATATATACCCAGAATTGTGATTGCAGGATCATACAGTAGTTTTGTTTTTGTTTTGAGACATGGTCTCACTGGCTGGCCTAGAACTTGTTAAATAGACTAGGCTGGCCTCATATTCATTGAGATCCACCTGCCTCTGCACTCCAAGTGCCCTAGGATTAAAAGTATATATCACCACACCCACCTTGCCTCAGCTTTTTATGTGCTGTGAGCCACCATGTCTGGCTGACCTTATGAATTCTAAGCTTCTTCATGTACTTAGAATACTAACCCCTAGACACAGGATGTACAGCTGTCTCTACCTGTTGTGTGGATTGTCTTCCCAATTTCTTGGTAGTGTGTCCTTTGATACACAAAAGTTTTTGATTAAGTCCATCTTGTTTTTTACTGTTGATTATACTGTTGGTGGCATTAAGTTGCATTTCTATTCCTGTGATAAAATACTATAACCAAGGCAACTTACGGAAGAGTGAGTTTATTTTGGCTTACAGTTCCAGAGGGACAAGAGTCCATCATAGTGGGGAGGTGCGGCAGGAGTAGGAAGCTGAGAGCTCACATCTTCAGTTGCAAACACCAAGCAGAGACTGAACTGGAAGTGGGGCAACCATGAGGTTCCAAAGCCCACCCACAGTGACGTGCTTCCTCCAGCAAGGCCACACCTCTTAAAGATTCCATGACCTTCAAAACAGCGCCATCAACTAGGGACAAAGTATTCAAACGTGGGCTTTTGGGGGCTATTTCTCATTCAAACAACCACATTAGTTTCAAAAAAGCTAAAAGATGCTAATTTGAGGCAAGATAGAAGGATATTGACTTTTTTACTATTAAAAAAATGATAAATTTGGGCCAGAGAGATAGCTCAGTGTTAAAAGTGTGTACTGCTCTTGTAGAGAACCTGAGTCCAATTTGCACCACCTGCATTGGGTGGCTCACAACTGTTTGCATCTCCAGCTCAAGTGAATCTCACACCTTGGCCTCCATGGACACCTACCCTCGGGTGCACAAACCACTACACAGACAACACACATGCACAATTAAAAATAAAAATCCTAAAATTTTTTTCTATATTTTTATTTTATGTGTTTTGCCTGCACATATGCACCTGTGTCATGCAATGCCCAAGGAGGCCAAAAGGCATCAGATCCCTTGGAAGTGAAGTTGTTAGTCATCATGTGGGTACTGGGAGTCAAACCCAAGTCCTCTAGAAGAGCAGTCAGTGCTCTTAACCAGTGGGAGAGATGGCTAAGAACACTGGCTGTTCTTGCAGATGACTCTGGTTCAGTTCCCAGTACCCACATGGTGGCTCACAACTGTATGACTCTAGTTCCAGAGGATCATACTCTCTTCTGCTCTGCATGATCCTGCACATGTGCGGTACACATAAACTCATGCAAGTACACATGCATACACATATAAAATAAGTGTTTTTTAATTCTAAAAAAAAAAATTGAGTGTTTTGCCTGTAGAGATGGAGGTGCACCACATTCACGCAATGCCCACAGAGGTGAGTAGAGGGCATCAGAACCCTTGAAGTTGGAGTTGCAGACCGGCCATGCGGAAATTGGAGTTGTTAGCTGC